GTACCCTGTGGCTTGGTACATGCCCTCTGATCTCTACTTTGTTGGAGCTATGTGAAGTTTTCAGATATATTCTCATTTACCATGAACCAAAGGTGGGTAGCAATTACTCTGGAAGTGTACTTTTGCGGACTGGGCTGATCAGTACGTTTCCAGGCCATGGCATCATCTTTATTTTTAGAAGTGATTCCCAATTTGGAATGGTTACACACTCAACCCAGCCCTCACAGTAGAAACTAACTGTGTCTTGGTGAGTAAGTCTTTATGGAAATGACAAATTTGTGAGGTCAAGAAAACCTTAAGTGTGTCTCCTGGAGAGGAGTTCTCAGAAGTATAGAGGTTTTGTTATTGTGCTGGCTTGTTTTATGCCAACTTGACACAAGATAGGGTTGTTTGGGGAAAAGGACTGTGAGCTGAGAAAAGCGCGTTGATAGGATTGGCCTGTTTGTAAGTCTGTAGGGCAGTTTCTTTTGATGGTTGATGTGAGAGGCCCAGATGGTGTTGCCACTCGGGGCAGGTGGTCCTGGATGGTATAACAAAGCAGGTTGAGCACCATAGCAAGCCGCAAACCAGTAAGCCACATTTTCCCATAGTCTCTACATCAGTTCCTGCCTCTGGCTTCCTGCTTGAGTTCCTGCTCTGACTTCCCTCAGTGATGGACTGTGACCTGGAAGTGTAAATGAAATAAACCCTTTCCTTCCCGTGTTCCTTTAGGTCACCATTTATCACTGCAAAAGCTAGGACAAATGGTTTTTTCTGATGTTCCTCCGGAGGTTGTCTGGTCATTCCATGTTAAAGACTGCGGAAACAGTTAAAAAAATCATAAGCATCACTTTCTATTCAAATGAGCTTATTAAAACTTAGCATTGAACTTGGGCAGTGGAGGGCAGATGAAGGATGCATCGCAGGCCTCACAAACTCCAGGCAAAATACACCAGCTGATTCCGGCTTCTGGGGAGAATGCTCCCCTGTCACCTCATTGAGAGGGTGAGGAAGGAAAAAAGAATTGATGCCGGATGAGGTGACAGGAGAGTGTGCAGTAGGAAATAGGAATCCAGCACCACATCTAATGAGCCTGTTATTAGAGGCTCTTGGCAGAACGAGGAAAATTGAGCGCTAACGAAAAGCAGGTACAGAGAAAACTTAACATGGCTCCATTATGCATTCCCTTTGAGACACAGAGCACAATTTACAAGATAAGCTGAATTTTCCGTTGAAACAGGACTTGCGTGCATATGTGTGAGAAGGAGCTGGGTAACAATTGCAAAAGCAGCAGCTGTTTAAATAATGCAGCGGAGAAACTAAGTTTGAGAGAAATTGTAAGCTCACTGTGAAGGTTGAGTCACTTCTCCCCCCCCCCCACCTCCAGCTTTCTTGTCTCATTGGCCTTACTTTGTTGAGTGGCTCCTTCATCCAGGATGTACCCAAGTAGGAACACAGGTGACTAACAAGTCTGTGTAGCTGCAGCTCAGGGGTTGGGGTAGGAGTGGTGAAGAACATTTGTCTCTGTGGAGTTAGTGCGCCCCAATTCCCTGCCTTAGTGTTTGAACTCTTTATTGTCCTGCTCTCTTTTCACAGTGAGTGGACATTAACAAAAAGATGAGACTGCACGCTTGAAATGACTGTGTTGATCCAGGCTAACTACATAGATCAGGTTTTGCCTTCTCGGTTTGTTGCCCTGGAAGCAAACTTATACTGTTGAGATCTTGGGCTTTCTGTCTGTACATCTTCTCTCCTTCTAGTAGTCATACATCTCAGTAGGAGCTGGGACAGTCACTGAAACCCTGCCACTTGCATGATGGTAATAGGCCCCAGCATTCCTTATTTGGCATCCATCTGAGTTGGTGCCCATGGTAAAATCTAACGTTTACACATAAGTGTTTACATCTAGTGGGAATTTTAGGTTCTAGGGTAGCTGTACAGGTAGCCATATCGTATTTATTCTACTTACTTGCTAAGCTGTAAACAAATATCAGAATGAATTCAAAGAGGCTCCTCATTTCCTCCAGACTGATGTTCACATGCCCCCTAATCATGATGCCTGCCCTGGCCACTTGATACAAAGCCATATATTTCTATTGTCTTTACTTCTGCCCAGTGCCATCACCCCTTGTCCCCTCTCTGGCTACATTTCCACACCACAAGAGCAAGAGCATTTTGGTCCGGGTTTGTTTTCTTTACCATACCATTTTCAGTAGCTCTTACAGAGTGGGGGCTATACTGTGATCCCAGAAGAAATTCAAGGACTAAAGGCAAGAATAGTAAGAGCATTCTGAAACAACATGTTGCCGATGTCTACAGAGCGTCTTCCTTCCTAGGAGAAAGCAGGGCATCCTTTCATTTCCCAATTTGTTTTAGCAAGTGTACAGGCCTGCTCTCTCACGGCTCATAGGCTGGTAAAGGATGTAGGGATTTAAGATTCAGGTCAAGAGACCTTTCCTGAATACCCCTTATACCTTTCCAACCTGGATTAACATAGTTCTTGTGATTCCCAGTAGCAACCCATGTAGGCTTGATCATAGCACAGATGTAGAGCAGATAATTATGGTCCAACCCACTTCCTCCCCTTTCTAGGCAAAGGCACTCGCCATGGGTCATAGTGTCAGAACATGAAGAATAGTCAATGAATCCATGCATGGTACTTGACATTAATGCTGCTTGCTAAGTAACTAGCATATGCATATGTTCTATAAGTATGTAGGCTCTGAAGCAGCTCTGCACCATGGTATATAATCATTGTTGCTACTAATATTTCATAGTAATATTCTAGAATCTTCTTCGTTATAGGCTCCCCTGGTGGTCTGAGAAATGCAACAATTGACTGAAGAATTTTTGCAGATAGTTTGGGGAGCTCCCTGCACCCCTGATTGCAACTGAGGCTCTGATTTACTTTAGAAATTATTCTCTGTGTTGGCAAGATGGCTCACTGAGTAAAAAGGCTTGTCGTTCAAGGCCAGAACCCATAGTGGAAGGCGAGAACTGATCCCTGACAGGTGTCCCCAACTTCCACACTCGTGCCCCGATGCCCCTCCCATAATAATAATAATAAACAGTAATAAATAATAATAAAGTTATATGTTAAGACTTATTTTCCATGTGCCCAGAACATCTGTTTAATTCTAAGAAAACAAGTTAGAGACCTTCTAAGTAAGTGCTTGTGGATTCTTGACATCTTGATGCTGCCACTTTGATGTGGCTGTTTTGATTTAAGGCTTCCGGGACGTTTTTGTCACAGCCGATAAAGCAAACTATTAAGCAAGCAGCAGCAGTTTTGTATAGCAAAGAAATGTGTACAACAGGCACCCAGCACCTTCTAATATCTGTGTGTTTCCATTTTGCCGTAGCTGTTTTGATGCCTAACGTTTTCGTGACGCCATGTGGAACTTGCCAGAATGGTTGCTTTCCATGCTTGCTAGCCTCATTGTAATAGGGAGAATGAGTCTGATTCTAATTTCGATGGCAGTAGGGTACAAGTTAAGGAGAAGGCAAGGGGGTGGATGATCTTGGGGGTGTGTGTCAGAGTTTGGGGAGGGACTGGCTGAGGGAGTGTGCTCACTACCTCAGAACACATTCCTCACTTCAGAACACATACCGCCTCTATTCCTCACTGGTCATTCTCTAAGTTTTGAGCTTCATTTTACTCTACAGTCCTGTCTGGAGAATTGTGTAGAAATGGGAAAAGAGCCCAGTGTACACCTAGAAATATGGTCTGTCCATGTTAAGGAGATCATTCGATAAGTTTCTCCTGCTTGCTGCATGAAGCCCTTGCTGTCTGTTTCACATGGCGGTGAAGGAAGTGGCCCTGCTTGCTCGCTGGACCTTGTGAACATGGGGAGCAGTCATACCGCTTCTTTTTGTAGGTTGTCAGAGTGACCCTGTGTGCCCACATGTGGCAGGAGGTCAGAGGTTGCTGCAATAGCAATTTAGTAAGTAGAATATAGGGGCCACTAAGAAGCTTTGGGGTTTTGGATACTGATTTTCATCTGAGTATCCTGCCAGGCTATAAAGTAATATTCCTGATTTTTAGCACATTTTGATAGCAAATACAGGAGAGAGCTTGTTATGAAAAATTAGCCATTGCCCTTAGGCCCAAAGTTTTAGCTCTGGGCTAAATTCACAATGTCTTGTTGGAATGCTGGGGCAACCGGATAGGTCCTTTCACTCATTGGCATCTAAGCCAGGGGCTTGATGAGTCTGTTCCTCCTGCCTCGGCTTATCAAAGGGAAGACGTGCGTGCTTCATTCTAAGAATCTTACTGACCTAGGAAGTGATAGAGTATGGGAGGACCGCAAGGTTCTCTTACTTCCCAAACAGGGGTTCTACAGAGCAGGCCTTCAAGATACCTTGTGTTCACTTGGGGTGGGTCATCTGGAAAATGGCCGAGTTGCATCTGAAGATGACAGAGATCAAAATGCTGCCATACTGCTTTGACTAGGAGTGGCCTTCACTCACGGGCAGTACAGCAGAGCTCTGATTTTACAAGTGACATTTTAAAACCACAATCGACTGAACTTTCTTTTAGCTGTATAGAGTGGCTTTTCCAGAGCAGAGGGGAGGCTTGAAGCTTACTACCAGGTGTGACTTTCACCTGTGTGGGATGTGGGAGAATTGAACTCGGGGGCATTCTAATTCTGGTGTAATTCAGGCCACGACCTTCCTGAAAAATGCCCCCCCCCTGTCATTAAGGAAATGAAAGAGCTCAAATTTTGTAACTTGATGTATCTGGGTTTGAAACTTAATGTTCTATAGATTTTAAAGCCTATACCAGTCAGAATCATCATGAGAGTCACTTTTGGGAAACCTTACTGTTTTTCATGGTGCTTCTTTTTCTTACTATGGGGATCCAGGGTAATGGGGGGCAAAAGCATGCGGATGTTCTACAGGTTAGCTGGAATTTAGTTGTGCCTTCATCACTCCTATTTTGTTCCTCTACTTTGCCTACAGGAGACCTCTGTTATCTCAGCCCAGGGAATCACTAATCGAGAGCTTCTTTTCTGTTGCAGTGCCAACAATATGCCCAAGCAGGTGGAAGTTCGCATGCACGACAGCCACCTCAGCTCTGAGGAGCCGAAGCACCGAAACCTGGGCCTGCGCATGTGCGACAAGCTGGGGAAGAACCTCCTGCTCTCCCTGACGGTGTTCGGTGGGTGCCCGGGGTCTCTCCTCCCCTTTCTCCCGAGTCACCCATCCCTTTCTTCCGGGATCTCCTGATTTGTGCGGGGAGCTAGCCCTGCCACGGCCCTATCAGGCACTGTTGCCTCAGTGACTAAATCTACCCCGAAACCAACTCTAACCATCTGCTCTACTCTGGAATCTGTGGTTCTCAATAACACGTGCATATATATGTCCCGTGAGTGTGAACACGCGGGTTCCCAGCCTCACTTGTGAAGACTGTTTTGAGCTGCCGGGAGAGAGGCCAAGGAATCGGCAATGCTGCAAACCTTCTAAGTGACTCCCAGCAGGCAGGCAGTAGATCACATTTAGAGAAATACTTGCATCAAGATAAGGACAAACAGGGCCAGGAAACCCCTCTAAAAGGGACCACAGGATCAGACCTTTGCCAGAAACATCATTGACTTTGACTAAGCGATTAAGTTGAGGAGGGGAGTATGGAAGAGGCCCATCTGATGCTCAGATATGTTCCCAGGCACGTTGGAGGTCTGCCTTCCTGCTTCAGGCCTCATTCTGGGGTGATTCTCTGTTCTGAGCTGTCAATACAACCCCAGTCTTGGGTTTTCTACAGGGTGTATTGAAAACAGAGTAAATGGCAGTTTCTTGTAATGACAACCACGCAGTTTCTCTTCTCAGTTCTCTCCTTGCTCTCGGCTCTTCTTAGGCTACACAGAGATGCAACTGCAGTTCATCCTCCCACCGCCTTGCTATCATTCACACCCACCCATTCACCCATCCCCTGTGCCATCTCAGCTGCCAGTAGACTAGAATCAAAACTGGGGATTGCCTGAGTTCGCTTAGAAACGGGGAACCACAGACGAGCCTGGGCTTTTTAAGAACTATCCACTGTGTAATCAAATCTCTCTCATCATAGAAAAATTTTTTAACCTGTAGAGGCAGGAAAGGGGTCTGTCTTTCAGCTATGTCCCTCCTTGTACATCTCTAGACTTAACTCCATGACCCATGTGACTGGCAGCTCCTTCCCCATCACCAAGGGGGCTGTGGCCTAGATTGTAGTCTTTTGTGGCTTATGTTGGCCTCCCATTTTCAACAGTCTAGGGCTTTTCTGGTGGAATGTAGGAGTCTGTGAAGCAAACAGCCTCTCTGCTAGCGTCTTCGCTCAATGTGCCTCCTCCCAAATTATACACCAATAGACCCTGTCCTATGCCTGTAACCTCCAGTTAAAAAGGAACACACACACTGAACAGCAGGTCCCGATGCCAGATCTGACTGAGAGAAGAAAAGATACTGCCTGCTGGGAGTTGGTTCTTCTGAGAATTTGTGGTGCTACGAGCAATCAATATCTCAAAAGATTTTGGAGTCAAGTCTTTATTTTTCCCCCTGGAGTGTTAAAAATGTTCTCTGGGCTCCTCTAGTGTTAGAATAGTTGGAATTGTTACAGAAAGGTATCTTGCTAGTTGTCAAAATCAGTTTCCCGTATGTAATGTCTTTATTTTGTGGTATTCATAGTCCATTAGGCAGACACAGGAAAAAGATGGTAATTGGTGATAGGAGGCCTTGGAGCTATCCATTTGACTAGGACAAAACCTGATTTTAGATTTGCTCTCTCCGTTCTTGGACAGGTGTCATCCTGGGGGCAGTATGTGGCGGGCTGCTTCGCTTGGCCTCTCCCATCCATCCTGATGTGGTCATGTTGATAGCCTTCCCAGGGGACATACTCATGAGGATGCTAAAGATGCTCATCCTCCCTCTCATCATCTCCAGTTTAATCACAGGTGAGAGCTCCTTCATGGTGCTGGCCCAACGTGCAGCAGAGTCCTGCCCTGGCTGTTGGGTACAGAGTAGAATTTCTGTTTGGCTGAGTCCGTGGATGTGACTGTATTGTTGCATTTCTGAGCCTAGTCCTGTTTCTAAGATCAATCACTGGTCCTACAAAAAGAAAAAAGAACATTCACTCTGCCTTTCCTTTTAACAGTCAAAAGGAGCAGCTATGTATTAAAATTGATGGTATCTTGTTATTTCATTTTTAGTATTTTCAAAAATGTGTTTTATTCAGAAACCAATATAGGAACTGAAAATGTATACTGCCTTTATTATTTACTTAGACAGATGGGAAGATGTGAATTGAAAAGAGATTAAATGCTAGGCATGAAAGCTGAGGGCATTTTTAAAAGAATAATATTCTTAATATGTGATAGCATGCTTTCTTATACTTTTGGCTAAAAGAATTAATTAATTTTAGTCTTTCCTATGTTTAACCTCATATTGGTAATTTTCTTCTTACCAGACAACATTATTGAAACAGAGTATGATGTGTTGCTTAGTGACTACTTTGGAGTTAAGGGTGGGAGGTGCCAAGCTGGTTCGTAGCCAGGTGACTTTGAGTGCTGTCCTCGACACTGGCCCCCTTGTGGATGTGGGACTCAGCACCTCCAGCTGATGCAGATGCTGGGCCAGTTGCCCCACAGCCTCCCATCAGAAACACTGGGTTTCAGATTCAAGTGTCAGGGACCTAGTGAGTTTGCCATCATTAAGCCCTGGGTTGAGTGACTTTGCGCTTCTCTCCAATCCAGATAAAATGTTCTCCTGGCCTGGCCTGCTCAGCAGATCTTCTGCAGGCCAGCTGGGAGAGACCTGGCTTCCTCGGGCCAGAATTAGACTTTGGGTTGGAGAGAGAAGTGGGTCATACATGGGTCAGATTGATTCAGAGAAATTCACACCAACTTCCTCCCCCACGTGAAGAAGGGCAGATCCCCAGAAAGGGCTTCAGTCCCTCTGTTCAGCAAAGGTAGAACTGAAACCAGGAAGTGGGCACACTGAAAAAAAACATCTGGAGAAAAAACCCACGGGAGGCTGAGGTCTGTGTGACTTAACTTGGAGTTTCCTCTCACCCCCCTCAGTGCAGATGCTGTACACGCTGCTGGCAGCTGCCTCTTACACATGTTCTCAGACAGCCACGAGAGGTTAGACATGAGGACCGCCATGTTTCAACACAAAGAGATGGCTGGGCCATGCTGACTCTCCACTTACGTCTCTAGTAATGAGACATTTGAGCATGCCCTCCATGCCCTGGCTTTGGATTCTTCTAAATAAGGACAATAAATAGTAATGGTAACATTCAAGTGAAACATTAGCCTCAGCTAGACCATTACTTCAGAGAAGATAATTTAAGGTCACAAAAATGGAAAGGACATTATTTTGGAATTAAAAAGGGAAAACTCTTCAATGCTATTTTCACGTATGTGATAGTGACTGACGGTATGTAACTCATATAGTCATCTGTAAACTATGGTCAATTGTCACCAACTTTCCTCAGATCTCAAGAATCTCAGGAAGTGCTGGATGGTGGTGGCACATTTAAACCCAGCACATGGGAGGCAGAGGCAGGTGTATTTCTGTGAGTTCAAAGCCAGCCTGGTCTATAGAGCAAGTTCTAAGACAGCCAAAGATACACAGAGAAACCCTGTCCTGGGGAAAACTTCTCAAAACACACCTTTAGAAAACAGAAATGTGACATGTAGAATTGGTTACCTATTTAGTAGGAAGAGTGCTAGCTGGCCACTAATGTGTCTGAGTGATAGGAAACCAGGGGTTGCAGTTATGTAGAGATAAGGACATGGGTAGAAAAGAACAGTACTGATCTTTCTGGATTTCTTTTAAACCCAGGGTTGTCAGGCTTGGATGCTAAAGCCAGCGGCCGCCTAGGCACGAGAGCCATGGTGTATTACATGTCCACGACCATCATTGCCGCTGTGCTGGGGGTCATCCTGGTGTTGGCTATCCACCCAGGCAATCCCAAACTCAAGAAGCAGCTGGGGCCTGGGAAGAAAAACGACGAGGTGTCTAGCCTGGATGCCTTCCTGGATCTCATTAGAAATCTCTTCCCGGAGAACCTGGTGCAAGCCTGTTTCCAACAGGTAACTCAAAGCCCCTCCCCCCCCCGTGTCATCTCTGTCCAATCTCCCACCTAATCCTTGAGAGCATAGAGACAGTTTCAACTCCAAATAGCAATTTTCTTAATATTCATGTATCCCGTCCAGGCCCAAGTGTTGGGCAAAGTGCTCTGGGGAAGGATTCTAGGCTTGATTTCTAGAATTGTTGTTGCCTGACCCCTTAATACCTTGTCACTCTGAGACTCACCTTTTCCTGTTTCCTTTTTGTTCCTGTCTGTGAGCACATTTTTGTTCACAACCCTCCAAACTGTCTAGTGGTTCTCAACACTGTCTCAAAACTTTATGTAGTAAAAAATATACCGACGTAATCCAACCAACAAAATGAGAGTCTGTAATCCATTGTCAAGATGAAACAGGGGATTGAGAATAATTTTTTAGTTGTGAAAACAGCATACATGTATAATCCTAACCCTGGTGAGGCAAAGACAGGAGGCTCCCTGAGGTTTCTGACCAGACAGTGTAATTGAATCTGCAAGTTCCTGGTTCACTGGGAGACTCTGTCTCAAAATGTAAGAGGGAGAAAGACCAAGGGAGGCTGTGATATCAGCCATTGGCCTCCACATGCACTGTCAAACACACACACACACACACACACACACCACTTACAACTTTCAAAAATAGATAATTCTTCAGAGACCACCGAGTCACCAGCCAAGGCTACAGTCTCCGCCATGTTTTCTTTCTGCAGGGCCAGCTTAGGTTGGTACACCTCTCAATCCCCATTAGCTCATGCAAAGACTAAACTGGAGCCCGTGAGTCTGCTTCAGCCCTTCTCAGGGAGCCACAGAAGAATGACACAGGCAGCTTAGAAGAAGGATCTGGATTTCCAGTCCTCAGTGTAGTGCCAGCTCCCGCTGAGCCCATATCACACCAGACTGGGATGGGTTTCTCTAATCTTTGAATGTCACTTGATAAAGAGCTGATGAACATTTAAAATGAGAGATCTACTCATCACCTCGATTTGATCATCGTCAGTGTCTGCATGTATGAAAATAACCCGTAAACATGTATTCATGTATGGAACTCTTCCGTTACACACCATAGATATGTGTAATTAAGTCAATGTGGGCTCATGTTAAAGAACACCATTCCATACAGGGAAAGTAGGATGTAGAGTGACCGGAAGCTGGAGAAAGGAATCTTACTGAGGTCCCCCTCTTCATCTGCTTGCTAGACTTGCCTAGGAGGAGGAAGTTGCTTGCTTTGGAGTGGTAGACACAAGTGGCTGCTGAGTCTATTTTGAACATTTTGAAATGTGTGTTTTGGATCCTGGGAAATTGGCTAAGAAAAAGTAGGTGGGGAGTCATGAGAGATTTGATCTCCTTCCTGTGCCTGGTCACACCTCAGATCCCTTCAGTTCAGCCTGGAAAACAAGACCAGAAAGCCCTGGGACTCGGAGTTTCTGCTCTGATCTTGTCGGAGTCAGCTTCTGTAGTGTTGGCCATATTCACATTTGGGGTCTTCCCTGGAAGATGATGGCAAAGAGCACTGTCAGGACGCTAGGGGATAGAATACTATATCAGGATCTAGTCCTCCCCTGCCATGATCCTACCTCTTCTTAGGGACACTTAGCTTTGGTTTCCCCAGCTAAGGCCAGGGTCCTATGAGGAATAATAGTGTACAGCCCTCTATTTTGAGGTGAAAATGGGTATAGATGGTCACTCTGGTTCCAAGGGCCTTGACCAGAGGGGCCATTCTTACAGAGTAACACAACATTGGCAGAGATGGAGGAGGAGGGGTGTCATCAGAGTCCTTTCTGTGTCCCTGTGGTCTGGCAGGGGTGTTTTAAAATTGCCTGTCTTGAGTGAAGGGGCATTCCTGACCAGAATTAGAAACATGCGTAAAGAAGAAGGAGAACTATTCCTAGATTGGAGGCAGCTGTCAGTCATCCTGGCTAGCTCAAGAAAGACCCTGTACGGGCAAAAGCAAGGCATCCTCCTGTCTGTGATTTAGGACTGGCTGAGAGGACATAAGCTTCCACATGTTTTCTGTAACATGGAGGAAGGCAGAACTCCTTAGTCAGGGGAATGACTGGTTTTCTATTGAAAAATAACCAGCATGACAGCTACAGATATAGACAAAGCTACAAGTAGCTGAAGGTGGGAGTCTGGCAGGAAGAAAGGTGTGGAGGTGAACTAGGAGACATTTGCCAGTTTTCAGGTAAGGGGTGCTGGTAAGTTGGACTCAGGTACTACAGCGGGTATTCACATGGTTCAACCACAACAGGCTCTATGAGACCTCAGACAGAAGACCTGACCAATGTGCCAGTGTCCTTGTCTCCTCAGGTTCAACTGGAACCCCTTCCTGTGCTGTTTGGAAGCTAGATTTTTGAAGTCAACTATGATTCTTGTTGAATCTGGATTCACTGACTAGCTAACAATCAGGGCCTTGGGTTAGTTATAGGACATTAGATGCAAGGCATTGGCTCCCTGCCTCCTACCTGGTCCTGTCTGTCACCATTTACCAAGGTCCATGATAACCTCTTCAGATTAATCCAAGCTTTGGCATCTTTACCACTCTCGAGATGAGTCATCACCTTTGCTGCTTAGAGCCTGGCAACTGCATCCAGAAGTGTCCCATCCGGTCACTTTCGTGTTCTCTCTTCATGTTGCTGTTGCCCAGAGCTTGAGGCATCCTCTCCTTGTAGCCAGGCATGGGTTTCCTCTTATCCTGCACAAGTGCATGTGGCCAGATTAACATGGGAGACGCCTGCCCGTCCTTCTCTCCTGCTCCTGTCATCTCAGTTCTGCGTTGCTGTCACTCAGCCACAGAAGGATCAAGGCAGCATAACTTAGCCTATGGTACAGGCGATGGTGGGAAGAACTCAATGATGGTCAGGCCATCTGAGTTCAAGTGGCAATTCTGCCAGTAAGTGTGACGTCTGAAAAGTCAGCTGACTTCTCCATGCATCCTAGTCTGTATCTATTCAAGGTTCAGCCATCTGTCACCTTCTATGTGCCAGCACCCACATTCTAGGATTTTGAATGATTTCTATTTTAATGCCCTTGAAAGTGGTATTTTTTGAGGCTATGATGTGAATTTTTGCATGCAGGATGCCTGACACTTTTAAAATTAGAACCACTTCCACGGATGTCGAGGAATAGCCTGAAACATAGTTGGGGATTGTTAGGCAAGGGTTAGCTGGCTTCGCTGCCTGAAAGAAAGGGATATTTTCCCACTTTACATAAGAATCAGATGATCCTGGAAAGATGCCTATTGGCAGCTGTCACCCCTGGTGCCCAGATTCCAACAGAGCCTGCTTTTGGAAGGACCCAAGACTTAGGACAGGCTTCGGGTGACTCTGTGTAGTAGAAGGAATATCTAGCTAGGTATCACTGTTTGGAAGAGCATCAAAGTTGGACATATGTCATAATTCCCCAACCAGGGGTGTTATCATGGGGAGGAAAAGTGCACACATGTCCCCAGCTTCAGCAACGGCACTGTTCAGAGTGCTTAGGGTATGAATGAATTTCATACGTTTTGTAATAATCTCGTCAGTAGGACAGTTGCACCCTACTACTTATACAATGAGATAACATGCTGTTGAGCACAAGCACAAACTAATTCCCATTTTAAATTAGCCCATTTTGTTATTTTGCAGTTAACATCCTGGGAACCTTAAACTATGCGGTTTGCTGGGTTGTTGACCTTTTAGACCACGCCTCATATTTATACTTTTTCTTTCCTGCTCCATTAGATTCAGACAGTGACAAAGAAAGTTCTCGTGGAACCTCAGGCTGAGGAGGTCAATACAACCAAGGCCGTCATCTCCATGTTGAATGAGACCATGAATGAGGCCCCTGAAGAAACTAAGATCATTATAAAGAAGGGCCTGGAGTTCAAAGACGGGATGAATGTCTTAGGTAGGCGAACTGGTTGTTAGTGTCCATCACCTCTGTTCCTACAGTGACCAACATTTCAAAAAACTGCCTTCTTCATTCAATTCTGATTTTCCCAAGCTTTCTTCAAAAAACAAAACAAAACAAAACCCAATAACTCTACTGGCCTCTAGGTGGCGCAGGAGGCTCTCTCTGGGGAACAATATGAGGGTCACTGAGATTCAGAGCTGAGCCATGAAGGAAGAGGGGTAGAAGGATTGGCAGAAGGGAGACCCCAAAGGGATATGTCAGCTGGAGATCAGGGATGGGAAAAGAGGAAGGGACTGACACTTGTCAGGCACATTACTTGACTCTGTCTAATGTTATCAGGTCACCTTATCTAACTAACCATTTTATGAAATAAGATATCCTTATCTTTCATTTGTTAAGCATTTTTTTTTTCAGATGTCACTGTGCAGGAACACCTTGCTGGTTGCCCCATCCTAGCTTCCAGTCTATAATAAAAACAGAGCTACCAGTATTGGCCAGCATTAGTTGGGGAACAAAGGGGTACTGTAGAGCCTATGTTTAACTTTCTAGGATTTCAGGGACCTCTCTTCTCAAGCTTGGTGCCTTCTCCCCACTCCATCCAACAGTTCTGGTCAGCTGGACAGATGTGGGTTTCAGCATTCACTAGTTGTCTACCCCTGGGCAAGTTGTTTCTCTTCCCCAAGTCTCAGCAGGAAAGTTGACATGGGATTGGCATAGGTTTCACAGACAGACCGTTGTAACTATGAAATGGGGCTGTGCATATAAAGCATACTAGCACATGCCCCGAGTTCTGTTCAGACAAGCTCTGACTATTATTAAAAGTAGACGAGGAACTCAACCCAAAAACATCTCACAAAGTGAGGGGGTGAGGTTTCCCTCATGGGATTGGCTCTAAATTTGCCCAGTTTTACCACCCACCCTCCCATCTTAGGGTTTCAGGGTGGGCCTACACACCTCAAATTCCACCACTCACCAGTATTATGATGTCAAGAAAAATGGGACATTTGTTCATAAGATGGAAAGAACTGGAAAAATTTGAATTTGTAAGCAAGGCCTCCCAAGCAAGGTTTCTAAGGACTCAGGTGAGAACTCCTGTCCTTTTGTCATCTCAGAGAACAAGTGCCCTTGCCTCCTTGGACTGTTATGGGATAAACTTGAATTTTAGGTCAATAACAAATAACAGGTATTTAGCATAAGTCTGTCCCAAGTGCCTGGACTATTCTAAAACGAAGGGGAAAAAAAAGAGTTCCTGTGTATCTGGAATTCAGAATGTGAATGGGAGTCCTGTTTGATTGGTTATTCTGTGCATGTGGTCCTTCTCAATGGACAGGCATACTGTAGAGAGGGAGGGAGAGGAGCAGGCAGGCCTGTAGTCATAGGGCTGAAGCCCATCTTTTTTGTTTGGACTGGAAAAAAGCAAGTTGGATAAGATAAGGGAAGGTGAGGGAGGAGATAAGCCCAGTGGATTGCCAGGCAACAAGTGATCAGTAAACACAGGTGACAATCCCTGAAAGGCCAGAGGTGGTTGCAGGAAGGAGGAGGAAGTGTGAGAGTCCTGAGAAAGAGGCTTTGCAGCCAGGCCAGCAGCCTCGCTCTTCACTGCAAAGATATCTACAGCCCTTTTGAGTTCTCAGCTCCCCAGGCCCCTTCTGGTGGGTCATGACTTTAGATCCCACCTCCTTGGAACCCCTCCTCTTCAGAAGGTCAATACTTTGAAGTAAATCATTCAGACAGTCCTAATCTTTTCCAGAGTCTTGATGAATTCTAGAAAGTCACATGACCTTTGGCAGTGCCTGGGAGTTTCAAAACACTGGCAACTCGCTCAACCCCAAAGACCAGTCTAAGAGGGCTTTGTTCAAATGAAACACCCCTGTTCCAGTGAGCAGTTTCAATTAGGCAATGTTTACCCAGGGAAATGGCAGGCTGAATCTGGTGTTCCATCCAAGTACACAACAAGGCACTGTGAAGCCAAGGGAAGTTAGATTGTTGAGAAACTTCCCATTTGCCAATCACAGCTGAAATAAGGTTCTTTCCATGGTCTTGCAAGGACAGAGTTAGTAGCTTTGTTTTTTGTTTTGTTTTTCTGTATTTCTGTTCTTTGATTTTTGGAAAGTCCCAAGGACTAGGCATTGCAATACAGGAAGATACAGCCCAGGTTCTGCCTTCCACTTCTTCAAGGACATGTTTTCCCCCTAGGAAACCTAGAGAGCTACAGTGTGTAGTGCAGCACTCCTAAGATTCCAGCACTTAGAAGGCCGAGGCAGGACCAGTCAAAGACCACCTTGAGTGTAAATCAAGACTGGTCTCAGAAACCAGCCAAACAGATGAACTCCCAAACCAATTGCTCCTTTAAAAATCTTTTTTTGTTTGTTTTGTTTTTTGTTTTTTTTTGTTTTTGTAAACTCATAGATACTCAAGTGTCTGCCATCTCTGAGGGGAGTCTTCATTCTAATTATTTGGGACCTTAAGACTTTGTACATCATCAATTAGTATTAACCAAGCAACAACTGGACTTCTCATCTTGAGTTTTCACAGATGAAGTCTTTGTCATCATACCCAACAAACTGCCCTCCAGAGTTTGAAAGAAGGGTAGAGGAAGAATTGGGACCCAACTTTCCATATAATTGAAAATTAGTTCATTCTACCCCATATCCAGTCTTCACTGAGCCCCGTCTTCCTTGGGTCAGCAACTCAATTGTGAAGTCACTAATCAATCCCTCAGGTCAAGAACCAAGGACGAGAGATATTAAATTCCAAATACTAACAATTAAATACAAGGGCTGCCTTATTTCTCTTAAGAGAGATGGGATCCTACCAAGTATAGTTAACTAGGTTCATAAATGTTTGGTATAGAGAAGAAGGGTGGCTTTGGGGGATGTGAAAAAAGGGTAAAAAGAAGTCAGAGGCTCAGAGAGAAGGAATTTATGTCTAAGAGAATCAAACTACAATGCCGTGATGCTTAACTGGCTATAATAGGAGAAGACTGGAAATGAGGCCTGCTAATCTGAGGCAAGGTAGGGTAGGGAAGAGGGTGGGGAGAGAATTGGAAGATGGCTAGTTCTTCAGAATCAGAGGATAAACCAAATGGACAAGCAGTGTTCTGTAGCTGGGAGAGTAACCGTAACTTACACTCCATGTACGCAGTCAGGATTAGGTCACCAAGACTAGGGATGGGTTAAGGGCAAAACCATGACTTATAGTCCCGAGGCAATACTGGGACTACTGTTAGCCACAGAGTGTACCCAGTCCCTGGGTGTGTTGAGGTGAGCATGAGGTGGGGAACGGGTGGGGTGGGGTAGTGAATCTCTGGCAAGTGATACCAGGCTTGGTTTTTGAGGAACTAAAAATCAAGGGAGTGTCACCAGGTTCTTAGACAGGTGATGAGGCAAAAGACCTGGGGTTGAATGTTAGATTTGCTTCAGGATGAAGTAAAATTAGGCTGCCACCGAGAGGGTGGGGAGTGAGCTCCCCAAATCCTTCCTGCCTTGCATTAGGATGGATCCTGGAGGCTGATGTGTGATTGAACTAGGAAGTCAAGAAAAGAGAGAAGATGGCTGAGGGGGTAGGAATTGGCAAGATCTAACAATTAACTCTACCTTCTGGCTTGGTTATCCTGAAAAAGATTAAGAAAAAAATGACAAGTTGAATTTTAGAAAGGGTGATTAATAGGGGTTTCCTAGCTAGTTTGGATTTCTTGTTCTTTCCTGTTTTGTCATTTCTTCTTCCTTCCACATTTGCTATGTAGCTGGAGGGTAGTCCCAGGGTGAAGTGTACCTGCCCTGTGTTATCTCAGAACAATACCAAAATGGTCTAGACATTTCTCTAGCAAGAGCTTTATGGACTAGTTAGTCTCTGCTGTTCCAATAGTGGCTCCAAAGTTTGCATGACAATCCCCGAGTCCCGACAGGCTCCTCTCTGTTAATCTGTGTGATAATGGGAGCTGTTCACACGTGATTTGCTAAGTGAGGAGGAAGATAAGACTGCACCTTTCATTTTGGAATGAAAATGACTTCCTTTTCTTCAAGGAATTCACACCTGAACTGCTTAGAATTTAGCCTGCACATGTGAAAAATGTCAAGAAAAGCAACAGTTATAGGATGGGGGATGGCTTTCAGTGTGAAATGTAATGCTTTTTTTTTTTTCTTCTAATTCCTAATTTATCCAAGGGTGACTGGCAGGCAGAATTGGCCCCATACATCAGTCATGCTGAAGAGTGAGGGAAAAGAAGCACACACTTGATCATTTGTCCTGAGTAAAGTTCTTGTTCACAGGTCTGATAGGGTTCTTCATTGCTTTCGGGATTGCCATGGGGAAGATGGGTGAGCAGGCCAAACTGATGGTGGAGTTCTTCAACATCCTGAATGAGATCGTCATGAAGCTAGTGATCATGATCATGTGGTAAGTTTACTTTGTCTGACATAATTGTAATGGTGCCATGTAAAGCCTTGGGGTCCCCAGAGGACAGTGGAGTCCCACAGTATGAAAAGAATGTGTGTGGACCAGGGGGGGTGGAGAAGGTGGTAGACATTCTCCTCCTTTCCCTCTGGCTTCCCTTTCCCCACAATGGGGATTATCCGCCCAGATCTGATGTGTCACCTAATTCTGTTTGTCCTTTGACTTGAGGATGGATTTTATCATTTCCCATGTCCATCCCAGCTCAGGCTTCTATAAGGAAGTGCTATACACTAAGTGACTTGCTCACTCCAGATATTTCTCCGAATTCAGAAAGCTGGAAGTCCGAAATCAAGGTGTCTGTATGACCAACTCTAGCACATTTATCTGAGTTATAGAAGAAACAACCCAGGGGAAAAAGAGGTAAAGGACATTGCAGGTTCTTTCCCTAGAGCATAGTTTTAGTCTATTGCTGTTGCTGTAACACCATACTGCAAGCTAGGTACAATTAAAAAGAGAGGAATTTTGAAAATCACAGGTTGGGAGACTGGGAAGTACAAAATCAGTCATTAGCAGACTTGGTATCTGGTGAGGACCTTATCCTTGCCGATGAATCTTTATGTGTGTCCTCACGTGGTGGAAGGAATGAATAGACTTCACCAAGGCTCTTCTGTTAAAACACTAATCTCATTTAAGAGGGCTCACCTCCAAGTGGCCCATCTGCTAAACCACTGTTCTGAGGTTATTACTCAACACATAGGAATTTGGGGGACAGAACCCTTTAAACTTTAGTAGACACTAGTCTCATTCATTTGAGTGTGACCTAATCACCTCCAAAAGCCACACTTCTACACACCCAGTATTAGAACTTAAAATTTTAAATAGGGTGGAAGCACTATATTCAGTTCATCAAAATGGCCAATAAAATGAGGAAAAAGAAAATCAATAGGATAATAACATTCCATAATGTGAGAATTAGAAGAAATCCACATTATCTCCACAGAACCAAATGTGGTGATGTGTTTGTGGTTGATTCTTATTAAAACTCTAGGAATGAGAGGCCAACGGGAGGCTTTGAGGTTTCAGTTCAATAAGGTAACTAAATATTAGTTTTGGCATGTTCACCCCATCATCTCATTGAACTTTTAAAATAAAAAGGGATAAAGTTATGCTGGTAAAATGCAGTGTTCCTTTTGTAATGGTGCTGGGTTTTCAGCTCCTCAGGCGATGCTACGTGTTTGAGTGTTTATTTTGTATAAGCTTAAGCTAACTTGGGATGCTGTGTCCTTTAGGTCCACCCGAGTCTTCTACTGGCTTGGTAGATAATGACCCAAAGCAGCACCAGCCTGTTGCTTGAACAGTATTTCCTGTCCTTGTTGCCTAGAGTTTCCAGCAGTATGCACATCCTTGCAGTAAAGATGCAGATGACCTTCACACCCAGTCATTTCCACAGAGTCCTTGAGGGAATTAGGTTCTTCGAGGAAAGCTGATAAAGCTTTGGAATGGAGAGTGTGGATTGGGAACTTCCCACTTGGTGAAACCTTCACCTGTAAAGGTTTAGCAACTTGTACCTGGGTTTAAAGAGGGCTGTGAGTCAGGCCTGCAGAAGGTTCCTTATAGGTTTCTATTACCCCATCCAGGAAGGTAAACAGGTGTTTATTACTAGCGGTCCATTCCTAACATTCTTTGGGTGCCTCATCAGCATTACCATTTGATAACACGAAGCCTGTGGGAAGGTTCAGGGTAAAATAGGTAGCACTGTTAGCTGACCACTCAAAGCAGATATCACCATTGTCTTAGGACTTCTATTGCTGTGACAAAACACTATGACCAAAGAGCACGTTTCATTTCGGGGAGGAAAGAGTTTGTTATATTAGGCTTACACTTCAGCATTGCTGTCAGGACAGGAACTCAAAACAGAGCAGGATCCCAGAAGCAGGAACTGATACAGAGGCCATGGAAAGGACTTTCTTTTACTGGCTTGCTTCCCATGCCTTGTTCAACCCAACTTCTTATAGAACCCAGAACCACTTACTCAGGGAGAGCACCACCCACCATGGGCTGGGCCCTCCCCCATTGATCACTAAATTAGAAAATTCCTTACAGCTGGATCTCATGGAGGCATTTCCTCAGCTGAGGCTCCTTCCTCTGATGACTCTAGCTGGTGTCAAGTTGACACACACAACCAGCCAGTGCAATCATATTCCTTATGTAGAGGTGAGAATAGATAGAAAAAAAAAAAAGCAAAATCTAGCATCGTGAAGATAATGTAATTTGTGTTGTTAGTTTCATTTTTTTTAAATTATTTTGAGATACACTCTCATGTAGCCCCAGCTAGCCGAAATATGCTATTAGTCAAGAAAGACCTTGACTTGATCCTCCCTCTGAGCATTGGTAAGCACCTCACGTCTGGTTTAAAAGTTATAATCATTAAAATGTAAATTGGAATGATTTTTATCTTGTTATGTTCTCAACCTTCAATTATTATATTATTAAATTAACTCATCTATTAAAGAAATTATCATTAAGTCATAACTAAGACCATTTTTTAAATATGCTTGGTATTAATTTGTTAACTTTCCATGGTCACATTTTTTAATTCTAATAATACCTAGCAAAACAGATCTTTCAGAAGCCTGTTTTCTGCTGATCACTCTAAGCACAAAGGTTGAGTTGCCCAGGGTTGCAAAGCTGTATTGTCCTAACTCAGTTTCTTTCGGAGTTCGAAGTAGATGAAACCTAAGAACTTCTAGCTGCAAGCCATGTGACCTTAGGCAAGTTAGACCCATTTAAATCCTAATATTCTGATTAGTAAGAGAAAATAATTGTAAAATCCATATCATGAAGTTGCTTCGAGAATTAGGTGAAATGGTGACCCCAGTCATTGAAACTATTTTATTCCCAGAAGGAACATAGCATTTCTGTGAATAAGCCTGTGGTTATTCTGTTTGACCATTATGACTATCAATCCAACCCTTATTCCTGCATCTCTGTGTGTATCAGTCTTTAAGAAGTCTGAAAACCCCATGATTTTATTAAAAGTTCTATAACCTCATTTTTTGAAAATTCTTCAAATTTTTTCCAAACCCTGAAAAACTCAATAGGAAGCAAAACTTCCCATAGTCTCCCTCTACTAGAAAAAAGAGGGATCATGCCCTCTCTTTGTTTCTACCACCTGACTACTGGTCCTCCACCATCCATACTATTAAAGGAAGAAGCATTCAATGGAGCTTGTTAAAGCTGGGAAGGATGGCTTTCTGCAGGGCTGCCTCAAAGGGGATAGGGACCTCAGCAATGTGCTTTTATAGTGATGGAGAGAGGCTAGGCTCAGAGCCCAAAATATCGGAAGGTGGGAATTTATAACCAATGGGGCGGGGGCACACCAAGAGTCAGAGGAATCCTGCTAAGGACCTAGCAGAATTCTTGTTGAAGTTAGGCCAGGTTGGCCGGAATACTGCTTGGGGGATGGTGGACCATGAGGAACCCTATCAGAGGATGGGGATGCTTTGCTAAACTGACTCAATGGAATTCCCTGTTGAAGCAGTGCTTTAAAGGAAGGAGAAAAACGGAGCCTAAAGATGGAGGGATCTAACTGAAGTTTGTTAACGCAAAGAATTTGTTTTTTCAATCCATTTGTTCTTTTGCTCAATAAGTAAGGCCTTCTAAACTGACAGTGATGTGGTATAATGATGAGTGCCTCAGAGGGAGGGTTCTGGCCTTCATGGGTCTCACATGCTAGTGAAAGAAGGGAAGGGAAGAAAGACAGAGGAAGCAAATGTGGATTCAGACAACAAAAGCAGAGTGTGGAGTAGAGAGTGAAGGAAGTAGGTCCAGTGGCCAGGTGAGCTGTGTAGGAACAAGGCATGGTACACACCTGACAGCAAGGGGAACCTACAGGAGGGTCCCAGAGAGAGGCCGCAGGGAGGGGAAGGCTTCTGAGGATCAGAAGCCACCGGGGTGAGAAGGGTTAAGATGGTCAGAAGAGCGAAGGCGGAGAGACAGACAACACTCAGAGTCTCCAGGGCTCTGTGGGTCACTCATGGGTTGGATTTCATGGATTTGTGACCGGAAGCTGGGGGGGCGGGCAGTGACCTTGTAAACAGGATACAGAGCTGAGAATTACAACCCACCTGTGGGCATCATGGAAATATTCTCTCCTTCTATCCCAATGACTGTGTCCTGAACTGGAAATGGATCCAAGAACTGCTTAGTTTCAGAACTGTTGGGTGGAGCCTTAAGCCTCTGTTTGTACTTAATTATGGTCTTGTTTGTTTCAGCTCATGAGTTTTGAGCTTTGGACTTTGGGCATTTCCCCCTTTCTTTTCCATGGAATCTCATCTCCAAGGAGCTCATTCAGTAATATGAAAGCCCAGGAATACAGCTCAAGTCAGGTGTAGGGAAATAACAGTGAAGACCAAGGGCAAAGGCTCTTTTATACCCCATTAATACTCATTCAGTTTGGGCGGCCAAGTGTTTGGAGTAGCAAAGGCTCCTACATTCCATATTCCCCCACTCTTCTGCTTCACCTTGTGGCATTTGGTTAACATTCTCTATCTACAATGGGAGTTGGTGCCTATCCCCACTGCCCAAGCCCCACCGGTGCCTCTTTCTAGTCCATCGGGCTCTGGCTCAACTGTACTGGGCCTGGGGAACTTCGTAGCTGGTCTTCCTTGGCAAAATGCCTTGAAAACATGTTTCCTCTATTCTACAAATTACTTGACCTGTGGAGAGGCATGGAGAATGACAGAGAATTGAATAGTATCCTAAATAGCTCATATCTGTGTTTCTCTGGACAACTTTAAAGGGTGATTGGTGTTTGGAAAAGAATTAACCTCTTGGTTTATGAAGATAAACCCCTTCAAGGCTTCATAGAAAGGCATTCTTTTACATTATTTAAGTCACAGCGACAAAGTGCTGACCCCTGGGGCACCATAGCTGATTTATGAGACGTTGTGATTATGGGCACACCAGAAGAATATCAAATGGCAAGAAACATGAGGGTTAAATGTCATGACAGAAGGCTTGTTTCACACTCCTATTAATGTCCAGAGAAGCTGTTCTCAACCATGGCCAGCCTGCAGCCCAGAGAAAAGCAAGTGAGGAGAGATGCACACTCATGTAAGAGCAGTGCCCACAGATGCACACTCACGTATGAGCAGTGCCCACAGATGCACACTCACGTAAGACCAGTGCACACAGATGCACACTCACGTAAGAGCAGTGCCCACAGATGCACACTCACGTATGAGCAGTGCCCATAGATATGCACTCACGTATGAGCAGTGCCCACAGATGCACACTCACGTAAGACCAGTGCACACAGATGCACACTCACGTATGCACACTCACGTATGAGCAGTGCACACAGATGTGCACTCATGTAAGACCAGTGCACACAGATGCGCACTCACGTATGAGCAGTGCACACAGATGTGCACTCACGTAAGACCAGTGCACACAGATGCACACTCACGTATGCACACTCACGTATGAGCAGTGCACACAGATGCACACTCACGTATGAGCAGTGCCCACAGATGTGCACTCACGTATGCACACTCATGCATGAGCAGTGCACACAGATGCGCACTCATGTATGCACACTCACGTATGAGCAGTGCACACAGATGTGCACTCACGTATGAGCAGTGCACACAGATGTGCACTCACGTAAGACCAGTGCACACAGATGCACACTCACGTATGCACACTCACGTATGAGCAGTGCACACAGATGCACACTCACGTATGAGCAGTGCCCACAGATGTGCACTCATGTATGCACACTCACGTATGAGCAGTGCACACAGATGTGCACTCACGTATGAGCAGTGCACACAGATGTGCACTCACGTATGAGCAGTGCACACAGATGTGCACTCACGTAAGACCAGTGCACACAGATGCACACTCACGTATGCACACTCACGTATGAGCAGTGCACACAGATGCACACTCACGTATGAGCAGTGCCCACAGATGTGCACTCACGTATGCACACTCATGCATGAGCAGTGCACACAGATGCGCACTCATGTATGCACACTCACGTATGAGCAGTGCACACAGATGTGCACTCACGTATGAGCAGTGCACACAGATGTGCACTCACGTAAGACCAGTGCACACAGATGCACACTCACGTATGCACACTCACGTATGAGCAGTGCACACAGATGCACACTCACGTATGAGCAGTGCCCACAGATGTGCACTCATGTATGCACACTCACGTATGAGCAGTGCACACAGATGTGCACTCACGTATGAGCAGTGCACACAAGTGTTCATTCACATTTAAGCTTCACAGCTACTTGGCGATGTTGGAGTTAACCCCTCTAACCCCAATGCCCACACTGGAAAAATGAGAATATGTCACCGAGTGAAGGGCTGAACAGAGTCCAAGGTTTCTACCTTTAAGGACTTGTGTCTGCTCTCCATTGCCTTTCTTTCACTTAGGAAAGGACTGGGGCCAGGACTCATTGCCAGGAGGGAGGGAAGGAGGGAGGGAGGGAGGGAGGGAGGGAGGGAGGGAGGGAGAGATATAGAGGGGAGAGAAGAAGGAAGAGTCTGCTTAGAAAGTCCTTTCCCACCCCCACCCCCTTGTTGGGAGTCTTATTTGGGGATTTTATTTTCTTCTTAGGTATTCTCAAAAATATGTCTGTAATTATTAATGAGGTATAAAACTTCCTACAAATATCTTATTTCAGTCAGATACCATCAGAATGTGAACAAATTCATGTCTGACAACACCTCTAAATTGTCATAATTAATTATAATAAAGAATGGTCCCAGACTAGCAAAAACTAAGTCAAGACCAGTTTCCAAGCACTCTATAAGATAACGGCAGCATAAAACGTCAATGTGGGGTAAATTGGTATATGGTGATTGTATGCCTACTTACAAGGAACTGGACCCATGTGCTAAAGGGAAGGAGTTCCGCTTGGTAAGAAAAACTCCCACTTCTGGGTTTTCCCAAAGTGGGGATGGTTCTCCTTATGGCTTTGTGGGCTTGGACTAGTGACTGAACTTTTCCAAAGGACGGTTTCCTTAATTACTGAGTGGTAATACTGACAGGCAGCTTTTAGGGTTGTGGTCAGGTTAAGTGAGGTTCTGAGTATGCAGGCCCTGCTGTAGTGCTTGAAACACAATGAACTGTGCCAGCATCATTGCTCTTATATAGGGAGAAAGCCTTTCAGGCTTAAAAGTCACCAAACAACATTAGTTTCAGTGCTCTCCTTGGCTCAGGTGCTTTTATTTTGGCAGGCCCCTCTCTCATTCCTTCCCTGCTCTTTTTTCTGTTCTCCCCATCATTTTAAGTATATTCCCTAACATCCAAGATTCAAACAACAAAAAAAGGACATTTACAAATCCCAGTTTATACATTTCCAGAAGGTTCCTCAAGTTAGTCCCCAAATTCTAGGAAGGAATTGAAGAACAAAGATGTCAAACAAGATTCCAGAGACACAATTCATGTCTCAGCCTTTAACTCAGTGTTTACAGAAAGATAAGCTAAAAGATGACAAGGCACGTCCATCCCCTTTATTCCCAAAACTCACCTTAGCAATAAAGTTTGCCTTTGAACTTAAATTGTCAGAACATGCGTCACTATGACCATAAAACAGTTAAGCCGGTCAATTCAAAGTACTGAATCTTGTTCTCATTCTCAGCAAAACACGGGTGCAGTTCTCAGGTGGGATTTAGGTTTTGAATCTCTTGGTTAGTGATCTGTTCAATGCTATTGTTTTCTTTTGTCTTTTTCAGGTACTCCCCGCTGGGTATCGCCTGCCTGATCTGTGGGAAGATCATCGCCATCAAGGATTTAGAAGTGGTTGCTAGGCAACTGGGGATGTACATGATCACTGTGATCGTGGGTCTCATCATCCATGGGGGCATCTTTCTCCCCTTGATCTACTTTGTAGTGACCAGAAAAAACCCATTCTCCTTTTTTGCTGGTATTTTCCAAGCCTGGATCACCGCCCTGGGAACAGCTTCCAGGTAGAGAGCAGGAGAAACCACCTTTCTCCATGCTGGTTCTCTTGTTGTGTTTGCCACTTCCTGTTTCCCCAAATCTTCCCTAAAGTCAGTGAGAACAGCTTTCACATCATATGAAGATATTTTCTAGAAGGTTAACGTTTTGAACTTTTGGCTTGTCCTGGGCAATGCTGTAGCTTCTGGTTAGCCATGTGGCTGATCAGCAACTGGACTAGAAACACATCCTCATATTAAATGTTTAGTTGGTTGCATGGTGTGAATTTGCATGCCTAGCACACTCCCCGAAGCATTAATGCAATGTAGTATTCAATATTACTCAGAGGTTGTAGCATGATGTTGTTCACTTAACATACCACCTATAGTTTAGGAAGTGTTATTATTTAAAAAAAATCTATTGAGGTTTTCACCAATATTTTTTCAAAAGACGAAGAATCAACTTACTTTGAAAAAGATGTATCTATATTTATGTTATGTGTGCGTGTGAGTGACTGCATGTGTGTATGGGCTCTCCATACGTGCCTGGTGCCCTCAAAGGCCAGCAGAGGGAGTTTCAAGCAGTTGTTGGCTGTCCTGATGTGGGTGCTGAGAATTGAACCCAGGACCTCCGTACACTGCGGAGCTGTCTTGCCAGCACTAGGAAAAACAATTCTTAAGGGTAAATGGTGATTTTATTTTTCAGCGAGCAGAAACCAGCTAATTCGCTGACTTTAGTATAAACCTCTTAAGGGACAATTCTGCCCTAAATTTCCCCCCTCAAAGCCTGCTTAAATAATGTGATCATGATAGAAAGTCAGCTCCTGCTTCATTATCTATTTCCAGTGCCGAGGAAATCACTAAGGACCTCAAATATAGGCAACAAAGAAATAATTTTTTAAATCTAATCTTGGACCAATGTTAACCAAAACAGAACAAAACAAGCTAAAAAGAAAAAAAACAAAAATATCTACAATTGCAGAATTTCAAAGACTGAAAGTTTTACTTTTCCATACTGAATTTGATGCTTTACTTCTAATGTCTGTCTTTGTGCCACAAAACTGAGCCCAAGATCATGAAACAGGCAACTCAGAGCCCAGCAAATGCGGAAACCCAGAGTGGAAGGCCATCAGGTCCAGCTGATGAGCCTGTGACCTCCAGCTCCTGCTGTGAGGTCCCCACTCAACGACACAGCATGGCTGGAGGATCCAGGCCCTATTCAGGCTGTCAAAGTTGCCTCATGTGACCCAACAGCCGGCTGGGAAGCCAAATTATATTTGCATATTGCAAGCCAGGAGCATTCATTATGAATAGAATGAGCTTACAGAAAAGGCTGAAATGTGCACAATACTGGGAACCACATTCAGCATCATGTTTTCCTGAGATGAAGGGAAACACTTCAAAATTTCCCTTTTACTTCCTTATGCTTTAAATTCCCTGTAGATAAATATTTGTATCCATGAAAATGCTTCTCTTCAGAGAAAATGTAAACCATTCCCCCTAAATAAAAACCAACCTTATTTACTTTTATTTTTTTATTTGATCATAAATATGGGATGTCTCAATAGCGATAAAGTTCAGATGGAGAAGAAAATTTTGAGGAAGACCAAGAACCTCACCAGACAAGTATTTCTTCAGCTAATAACAGTATGCAATAACCTTTATACTTATAAATCTTCCTTTTCTTATTTTTGCTTATGATGCATAGATGCTGCTCTAGAAACCTATTTTTTTCCATGGGTCAAGAGATCCTGAAAATCTTGTCTATTAATATAGATCTTTGCTGCTATTTTTGTGAACTTCATTATAGTATACAGGTTATTAAAAAAATGCTGGAAAGGTAGTTTAGCAGTGAAGAGTGCTTGCTGCTCTTGCACCTGGGTTTGGTTTCCAGCACCCAAATGGCAGCTCACAGCCACCCATAACTCCAGTTCCAGGGGATCCAGAACCCTCTTTTGCTTCCCTAGGTACCAGACATCCATGTGGACAAAGCACTCCAGCACTTAAAAAAATGAGATACTAATAATATACCTACTGTACTGCACTGCATGTGCAGAGGTGCAAATCTAAAGCCTGCCCATTAAACAGGGCTCTGCCTGGCTCCCCGATGATCCCCTCAGGATGCATTCTAGACCTGGACTTGCTGAGTCAAGGGGTGCAAACAGGTAGTTTTGAAATGCATCACCAGTTAACATTTCAGAAAGTCCAGAATTTAATGTGTTTGAGACAATGTCTTTCCCCACCCACTCACCAGAGTCTGTGTTGCTTTGATGGATGCCGATCTTATTGGTGGGGAAACTACTCAGCAAATTTGCATGTATTTGATTACAGATGAGAGAAAACATCTTTTTATTTCTCCCCATCTCTTCCCTCTTGAGGCATGTGTGAGCCAGCTCATTTTCCTTTGTGGGTACTCATCCTTCCCTGGATGGTTTTCAAGCTCACTTTATGCATACGAATTATTAACTCTTACATCACATGCTACAGATGAGAAGCCTCCATACTAGACATCTGTCTTGAGAAGAAATAATGGCCAGGTGTTGGTGGTACATGCCTTTAATCCCAGCACTGGGGAGGCAGAGGCAGGCGGATCTCTGTGATTTCGAGGCCAGCCTGGGCTACAGAGCAAGTGCCAGGACAGACTCCAAAGCTACATAGAGAAACCCTGTCTCAAAAAAAGAAAAAAAAAGAAAGAAAGAAAGAAAAGAAGTAATGATGTTTGACACTGGAAGTTTTTTCTTTACATATATTCAAAGCTGTAAATACACCATTCTACTCAGAAATTCAGTTTTGCTAAAATATTTCTCTAATTATAACATAATGTTTTAAATTTTCTAATGCTCTTGTAAATTTGTTATTAAGCTATTTCAAAAATTATTACTATTTTTCTTTTGAAACCCATTATCCTAGTAACTTTAAAAGAAAAGACAAATCCTGAAGAGATATTGGGAGTATATGCTGGCATTTAAATCAAATTCAAATGCTTGAGTTATCTCAGCAAAGCCTCAAATATTAGACCCATTTCCTTCCTCCTTATTCTGTATTACAGGGAGAAAAATACGTTTTTAATTTTCACTTAAAATGTGGCTTTTGCCTACATGTGGAGTTTCCCTTTCTTAAAAGGCAGTGGGCAAGACTCACATTCCAAGAATTAAGTCTTTTTTTTTTTTTGCCATAATGGACACAAGGGGAAAAAAATCCAATGTCCAGGAACTGCCCATTAAATACTACTGTGCCTCATTGTACTGAAGGAAGACTCCAGCTATATCCTTTTCACATTGCTGTAACTAAACACCTAAGGAAGAAAGGTTGTGTTGGCTCAGGGTTTAAGGAGACACAGTCTATTGTGGTGGGGAAAAGATGGACACTGGAACAGGTCTGTTCATGACAGAGGGAGCTGGTGAGACTGCCTTCTCACAGTGCCAATCAGAAGGCAGAGATGAGGTCAGAAGTGGAATGAAGGCTAAAAGCCTCAAGGTCCATCCAACTGTCCTATATCCACTTAAGCCTTACCTCCTGAACATTCCAAACCACCCCAAACAGGGCCACAATACCAAACATGCAAAACTGAGAATGGCTGACAGGCTCTTCTTGATGGACACAGAGGCTGGTATCAGAGAGGAATGTGCCCCAGACCTCTGGCTTCAATGCATGCCATTAATCATAGGAAGGATCTCAAGTATTGGACATTGTTATTAGCAACATCCTAGGGCCTCTCAAGTGGGAGCCAAAAAGCAACGCCAGAGTGTCCCGTCTGTCAGCAAGGGAAGTCACTGGAGTTCTCAAGTCCTCGTTTGGATTAGTTGAGTATGTGTGGATATGGAGGATGTAAACATAAGGCCTGCTCAGTAGAAGAGGGACTGTTTCCATGCTTCACAAACCATTTTCCCCAGTCTCTCTGTTGGAAGACCTCTTGATGACGTTTTGGAAAAAAATGGATACAACAGGAAAAATTAATATATCTGAGTGATCCCAGAAGTGTGCTTTGAGACATATGATTCAGAATCCTGCCACCAAAAAACTGTTTCAAATGCTTTGAAACAGTCCCAGGAAATGGGGAGAAGGGATAAGAGGAATAAAAGGACACCAACTTGTAATTAAAACAGCTGAGGCAGCAAGCCAGGAACATGGTATTTCCTCCATGCAAATGGGAACAGAGCCTCACTTTTTACTTGGGCTTATAAGGCAAACGAGACACGTCCCTCCCTGGTCCAATTAATTGACTTGTACCCTAAGACCAGTAGGAAGCCTTTCAGAGCCCTGACCTGTAATCACAAAGGATGTTCTGTCTGGTAAGATGACTCCTGGATCGGCTTAAGATGTGGACTTGGATGTCTCTCATTTTATAGCTTTCAGATTTATTGCTCCAGAGTAGGTACTGGAATCAGTACATCCCTAAGCTGGCCTTTCCTCCCACTGAGAAACTGAGACTGGTCTTGTTTATGCCCCAGATGTAACTAGTGTGAGGGGGTAACTCTGACGTACCTCCAAATGCTGCCTGCACTGGAAATCTTCCAATTCACTTAAACAGGACAAAAGTAATCAAAGCAGGACAAACCGCTGTTTGACTCTTTTGTTTGATTTCAACATTATTTAAACTTTAAACAAGCCCACCCTATCTCCTTCGCACTACTGTCTAAAAGGATGTAATATTCTGTCTGTGAGGAAGCCTTGTTCTCTTAGGAGTTCTATTTTAGAAGATGCAGGAGCATGCCAAATATTCTAGCCTCCAAGAGTAGGTCATGTGGTTGGGTCACCAGCTCATGCATGGGAGGAGAGTAAAGTCCCTCTTCTCTGCCTTTAGCTACAGATCACATGATTTCCTGCCCTGTCATTGTAGAGACTTAGGACTGGCTGTTGGCCATGTCTCTAGGAGTTTGACTGTATGTCAACTTCCCCAGTGGATTGTTCAAAGCTTGGGTTCCTGATGAAGGGTGTACAACATGTTTGTCCAGCATTTTCCAAATTAGTAAGCCCAGCTCAAGACAATTCCCACAGGCTTGATGCAGTCCAAGGCAGTCGTTTTGTTGAAACAACATTTCTGGCATGAAATTATGGGTCATTCAAAACTTCCCCATTCTGTTTTGCTGTTGACAGCTGATTGCTTTCTGACATAATTTTTGTGCAGCCCAATTCATACGAACAATCAGATGTGCTTCAAGATTTATCCTAAGATGGAAACGAGGACTGAAGGGAAGAGGACTTGGCAGGCACTGAGTAGCTCTGAGAAACCAGAACCAACTAAATATTTTGTTGCCTATCAGCAGTTTAATAAGATTGAATTTAAACTCCCAACTCATTTTAAAAAATGTTTCTAGTTACTATTTTTTCTGTGTCACATTGATTGATTAGAAAAAGAACAAAAATTTGCAGTGTCATTCTGGTTTGTGCTTTGTCCTACTTCTAAAGTAGAGTCTCTCTCTCTCTCTCTCTCTCTCTCTCTCTCTCTCTCTCTCTCTCTCTCTCTCTCTCTCTCTCTCTCTCTCTTCTCCCTCTTCCTCCTCTTCCCCCCTTTTCTCTCCCCTCCCCCAGTGCTGGAACTTTGCCTGTCACCTTCCGTTGCTTGGAAGACAATCTAGGGATTGATAAGCGTGTGACGAGGTTCGTTCTTCCAGTTGGAGCAACCATTAACATGGATGGTACAGCGCTTTACGAAGCCGTGGCCGCCATCTTCATAGCCCAAATGAACGGTGTCATCCTGGATGGAGGGCAGATTGTGACTGTAAGGTGAGCTAATCGCGTGCAGAACAAGTGGAGAAACATCCATCTTCCTTGTTGTCACTCCATTTCAACTTCACTTGATAGGAGCTGCTGGAGTTTCAGCTCTAGTGAGACACAGACAAGGAATTACTGGCCAACTTCAAAAGGAAAAGATTGTGACAGGAATGGAAGAGGCTAGTGATATATTAGACACGCCTACTCACATCAGAGCCCAGATATGATTTGAACAGTTATTTGTATGCTCATTCAACACACAAGGAAAATCAGGCTTGGAAGGATAGTGGCTTGTCCAAGGCCATACCAGCAGTCATGAGCTGGCATGGCTATGGCTGGGGTGACATTTACTAGTTCTGAGCCCAATTATTCTGTCATTAAAATATGTTCCCTTCTGGGTAGGTGAGCTAGCTCAGTGGATAAAGGCATTTGCCACCAGACTTCAATCCTCAGGCCTCACATAACCAAAAGAGACAGCTGCCTCTTTTAAGTTGTCCTCTGATCTCCAGACATGTACTGTTTGCACACATAAACATGCAAAATTCATGTTTAAAACATGCTCTTTTCAATGATGAACTACTGAGATTCCTCAGTATGACATAGAACATTTTAGTGTAAATAAGTAGTACACAGTTGTGCTCTCACTAATGCTTTTATTTACTATCTGCATTTACCGTTGTTTTGACATTGAGAACATTGTCCCGAGAGGTCATCTAAAATACGTAGCTTCTCCATTAACTCAGATCTTATTTGTAGGTAGAGTCATTGAGAACTTCAGTCTTCAAATCGCTCAGTGTTGTGCTAACACTATACCATGAAATCACTTTAGTATTATCACTTCTGCTCTGACTAGGAGCCTCTGTTAAATTAGAAGGCAGTTTCTGGCTCTAGTTAAAGTAGAGAGCACAACAAAAAGCCAGCGAACTTCCTCCTGGTCCCAAGTAAGCCCCATTCCCACTTGCAGTGTCTTGATGTCCTCATTTACAAGTGAGAAAGGCACTCAGAATTGGGGACTGAATTGGCGGTTGGTGGGCTGAAGCCAGCTCGGAGCCTTTCTGTTTGCTTTGTAATGTGCTGTAAAATAATTATACTGTTAGTGTCTTTTTTAAGACAGGTGTTTTCCATTTAGTGGTTGCCCCTGCTCCTCACCACCCAGACCTAGCCTTGTCACCTACCACCACTGCCTGTTCTTTTAAGACGTTTAAAGTTATTCCTTTGGGATGTGGTGAATTACATTCCTTTTCTCTCTCAGATTCTATGATATTGGCAAATGCACGGAATAGGTGGATCACATTCAGTAAATCAGTGTACCTGCAGACAAAAGAAAATCCAAGGAACTGTGATAACTATAGTCCCACTGACTCATTCTGAGAAAAGACATGGAAATAACTTTCAGCTTCTATAATGAGTATAACCCCTGTGGTAGCATTCTTCATATCTCACTTCAGACATTCCTAGCAATCTGAAAAGGAAGGATGGCCTTTGTCCCCATTTCACAGAATAGTAACACCAGGCTAAGGGTGTTTATATGAAACCTCACTTTCAGGGTATGGATGCAGTGGACAGGAGTCACATGTTGTCCCTTTAGGCAACTTCTTTCCATTCCCTACCCCTTTTCTGTTGTGACTCTAACTCAGAGGAAGCTGTTAGAGTAATGGTTGTAATGGTCTTGTCTCCATTGCACATAAAGAAGAAGCCATATCCTCTATGTTCAGATTCCTGTAGTGGGCTTTCCTCCCTTCAAACCCTTCACAAAGTCCTCTTTACTTCAGAAATTCTGGTGACAGCTGGTATCTATTTGGCCTACAGCTCATTCTCTAGGAGACCTTAGGTGGTCTTAGGATCGCTTTAGGTGTTTTAAGGGGGGTGCAAATGGGGGCATGTTTATTTGTATCTGGCTCCTCCATGTGATGAGGTTATTGAAAGGTCATGCTCAGGCATTGGAAATTGGAATTGGCACTGGAAATTGGAGTTCTCTGTGTTTTGTGGGTTGAAAGCCCAGAACTGTCACTGCAGAGCTATGCTTCTTTTGTCTATCTGGGAGCCTTTTAGCCAGCTTGGAGCTATTTTTGTTGGGTTACCAGTTCCCTTAATTTCCTAATAGCTATTCCAGAAGATTTTAATGAACATTCTGTACACATCAAAGCTTGGCTGAACAGCTAAGTAAGAAAACAAAGAAAATAAAACCTTTCCAGGTTTAACACACAATTTGGAAATATAAATATTGCCTCTTGAAGCCATCTCTTCTGGCAGATGAGGAACCTGAGGCACAGAGTCTCTAGCCATCCAGAGGATGGCTAAAATTCAAGTCCCCAAATTTGTATATCTACTTCTGTTTCCTGAAGATCTAATTTATGGCCTTAGAAGGGGTTTTAAAAAATGGGAAATGGGGTCTGTATATCTCACATGATGAAAATAAACCATGAAGGAAGAAAAAAGAAAATTGCCCAAGATCATGTCTATAAGTGGTGAAGTAGTTTTTGAACCCAGGCCACCTAAATGTGGGTCACACTGCATCTGCTATAATTGGATATATATTCTTGGGCTGCCTTTGTATGTTAATTTATTTGACCTTTACAAACCTTGTGTTGTATGTACTAGAGTAGACCCTCCATCTCCTCATCTATACCATGAAGGCAGCAATCACAGAATCAGGGTGGTTCAGAGAACATCATCATACATGACACATATCACATGTCAATAGATGGGAGCTATTGAAATTGTTACTATCAATGATGTTCAATAAAATAAAACAGTAGCCCTTTAAGGTGGCTTCAACACAATGAGTACTACAAATTAATCACAATGGGAAGCTTACTTCAGATCAGAGTGTCAAGCATGAATCTTGTCCTAACAGATATCACCCCAGACTTCCAACTTCTCGTTTGCTTAAAAATTTGTAGGTGAAAGGACTTGCCTTAATGAAGTCTTTGGCCAAACAATGATGGCTTCATGTTCTGTCATTCTTGGCCTTGACAGCAACCAGTCTTACCTTCCAGTGTATGTTGTGGAATTAAAATTAGAGCAGTGACTAAGTGATTGGGATCTTACTGGCATTACATAATTTTATCTACTTGGGATTTATTTTATATTAACAATGCCATCGTTGGGAAATTTCACTGAGCAAAGGATAAAGTTGTCCATATATGTTTAAATCTTGGCCTCTGGGCAAGTTTAGCCAAATCCTCCTTAATTGTAGACATCTGAAGGTCTGCCTCTACAGGCTCCCACATGGTATATGTTCAGTTCTCTGCCTGCAATGTATTTGGGGGGAAAATAGCCAAGTTGAGCTTAATGTTGTGCCGTTATGTAAATCCTTCATCTTCTCTTCTATCTCATGTAGAAGAGCAATGGTCAAGAACTTTCTGTGTATTTATTGTCATCTCCCAGGGTCATCAAAAGCCAGCATGTAGCAGAACCAAGCACAGGGGTACTCAAATCCCAGAGGACCACATTGAATCTGAGTGATCCTAAGTTACCTAACCCATCCAAGCCCTGGTTGTCTTATGGTGAAAGAACATGTTTATGTACTTTGCATGGTTATTGTGAGGTTCTGCTTTGATGTTCTGTACATAGATCTTGGCCCAACCTCCAGGAACTTGCCTCTGGAGAAGCTAGCCAGGAGAGCGGAATATCAGACAAAGAAGAACAGGCCAAGGGACCAGGGACAGGCTGAGAATTTTCTAGAAAACAGTCTGTAGGAGGGCAAAGCTACTGTTAAGATTTAACTCCCAACAAGAATTTTTGTACTTATAGGATTTTGACTCACAGAACCAAAAACTAGTCAAATCAAAATGGCGACAGTGCTTGTAAGAGTGACTCATGACCAAAGCAACGGACGCTGTAAATCAAACAGTCAAGGCCAAGGATGACTGGAACCCGGGAATCCCCTCTTCCCTTCTGTTCCATGCATACTGGGGAAGGGCTGAGGATTCCCAGCTGTCTGGGACTTTAGGGAAGTTGCCCACAACTGTTCACTTTGCCACTGAGTTCGTGATAAGAATGACAGTTTATTAAGCTAGGGGGTTGTAATGTGCCCAACCTTTCTTAAGTGCCTTTCCACTTACTGGTTCCTAAAAGCTGCAAGCCACTTTGTGAGATATCCTCATTACTCCTTTGCACAGACAAGGAAGGCAAGGCACAAAGATGCAGTTGCCTAAAGTCCTGTGATTGACAAGTGGTAGAGCTGGGATTTGAACATAGGTTGTTTAAGTTTTTTAAAAAAGTTACTACATATTATCCGCTGTCTCAAATGGATTCAATCATGGAGTTCTGTAAAACCCAACACCAATTCCATGCTGGTGTGACAAGGAAAGGGCACAGACATGTTCTGTAGATCACACCTAGGCAGGCATCTATAATGATACCTAAAAAGGATGACAAAATGAAACAAATATGCCAGACCACTGAAGCTCCAGGGGCCTTCATTTCCTTCAAGTCCCTCTCAATTGCAGGTCTTGGGATTCTAGGCCGGGTCACACTGATGGTATGACTTGGTTAACAACTTCTGAGAGCCTGGAGTTGGTGCCTGAGTACCTGCTCTAGAAACATTTTAATGTTTCAACTACAAAGCAAGCAGCCTCCCCTTTTTTCAGAACTCACAAAATGACACTGGGGAGTCCCATTTTAAGAAGCAACATTTTATTTAAGTGACAGCTCTAGGTCTGAGGAGGAGATGACTTGCTTGAGCTGAGTTTGATCCCAAAACCCACACAAAAATGCCAATCTTGGTGGCAAGTGTGTTTAATCCTAATACTGGAGAGCAGAAGACAGGTAGATACCAGGGAAAAGAGGATAGCTGGTGAGCTCTAAGCCAATGAGAAACCCTGCCTAAAAGGGAGTAGATGGTGTACTTGGACATCCAAGATTGTCCTCTGACCTCTACATGTACATACTAACATGTGCATGTGCACCTACACACACACACACACACACACACACACACACACACACTTAAAAAGGAAAAAAGAAATGATTGATTCTATAAAAATGACAGGTACAAGGATAAAAAAGTCACTGCTAGTTGGTGAGCCCTAAGAACCCTCTGGTATGTAGACAGGACACTTGAATCCAAGATTAACCTTTGAACTCTGGAAAGAGTTCAAAATGGTTCCAGGTATACTGCTGATGTCTCTTGAAACATTGATGAAAAGTGCGGAAGCTTCCTTTTACTCCATTATCATTGCATGGCCCCCTCTTTCTCTGAATAATGTGTTTTCCATCCTTGGGAGAAATGTCCAGGCAAGTGAAAGTTAATGTCTCCTGGAATATGTTGATTGCTTTCCCTGATGTCCACCTGTTTGGTTTTGGATATTTTCTATCCTCATTTCTCATGCTAACATTGGCAGCAACCTCCTTAGACTCTTGCCACATAGTCCAAAGAACTGTGGCACTCACAGGCACATGGGGGCGTAAACAGAAATGAATGCAGTTGTGCTCCCACAGCAGGGTGATTTATTTCTTCATCTTTAATATTTCCATGCCTGCTTTTAGAACTTCAACTGCCTTAGTACTGTGTAAATTAGGCTAATTGGGTACCACAATGTCAATAGGACTCCAATAGTTTATAAGCTTTCATTATTGTTGAGCGCAGTTCTTGGATATTAGTATTTCACATTTCCTTATTCCCTGGAGAAAGAAAGGAAGAGACTTTTTAATGACCGTATGAAATTTGGGAGATTTTCTCTTATCTCTAAAATTGCCAAAATAAGTTTGCCAAGACTCTTTCTCTTCTGTGACCTGAGCTTCTCTGTCCTTGCAGCCTCACAGCCACACTGGCGAGCATTGGTGCAGCCAGTATTCCCAGCGCCGGGTTGGTCACCATGCTCCTCATTCTGACAGCCGTGGGCCTGCCGACGGAGGACATCAGTTTGCTGGTGGCAGTAGATTGGCTCCTGTAAGTGTCTGTGGGCTGGGTTCCTCTGGGGATTGTGAGCACGGCCTTCCAGGAGTAGACAGGTGACAAGATTGCAGTAAGACATTATCCAATCTCCTTTGGCAAGTCTTGTGTTCTAGCTCTCCCCGCTCCTATAAAAAATTACTAAGTCTACTCTGCATTAAAAAGTCCAAAGAATTAAAGAGGAATTTTAGGGCCTTGTAGTGTAGTGGAGGGATCAGATAAATCATAATACAAGGATAAAATATAGCAATGAGATAAGCTTGAGTTACTGCTCAGTTGGCAGAGTGTGCGCCCCGCTTCCATTCCCAGTACTGAATAAAACCGGGCAGCATGGCTCATGGATACAATCCCAACACTGGGCAAGCACAGCTGGATGATTAGGGATTCAAGAGCATCCTTGGCTGCATGGTGAGTTCGAGGCTAGCCTGGTCTATGTGAGACTCTGTGTCAAAAAGAAAGTGTAGCAGTGATGATCCAATTAATGATATATGCAAAGAATCTCAAAACATTCTACTGAGTAGTGGAGCCAGATACAAAAGAAAATGTACTGTATAACTGTGTTTACATGAAACTCCAGGGGAAGATACTATAACCCATAGCTATAAAAAGTGATCAGTGGTTCCCTGGCACAAGGAAATTTTGAAGAATTAAATAGAAATGTCCCATATTCACGGGTGTCTATATTTGTCACAACTGACCAAATTATGTGCTTAAATAAGGGTGTACATTTTCACGTACATAAATTACAATTAAATAAAGCATCATTTTAGACAACATAGAGTTCAAAGCACAATGGTGGAAAGAGTTATCTATGTCAGTCTAATATGGAAGGGTGAAATGGGAAACCATCAGAAAACAGTTGAAGTAGTTGCTGAAATTGGGTGCTCACTATGTGTGAGCTCCTGTACAGGCTGTAGCAGTCCCCAGGGTTTGCTGTTATCATTGCCATATTGTAGGTCAGAAGTCTGAGGCCTGGACTCACAAAGGGACAGAGATTTGACCCTAGGCCTGCCTGGTTCTGGAGTCCTTCACATTCTTTTTCATGATCAGATTCAAGTTCCTGAAGGCAGAGATATCTATGAAAAGTCATAACTGATAAGAAGCCAGAGGTACTTAGGTGGAGGAGAAATAGGACATCACTACCAAAGCCATCTGTGCAAAGGTACCAGGGCTACAAAAAATGTGGAGACCTAAGTGATGGAAGGTGAGTTAGGATGGAAAACACTCCTGAAGGCCATGTATGGAGGACTGAATCTGACCATGTGCATTTAGCCTGCCTGAATTTCCCAGTGAAAGCATTTTACTAGTGTCCTATGTATAAATGTGGACAAGCCAGGCTAGATCATCCCTAAGCAGGGAGAATGGAATAGAGGCTCTCTCACTGCCTTGAGGACACTGCTGTCCTTTTAAAATCATACCAGTGTATCATGTCCAGTCTTGCAGCTAAGTGATAGAGTGCTGGACAGTGTCATTGGCCTTAACATGGGAGGGGCACTGTGATAAGTGCTGGCAGACAAGGGAAGCCAAACTGCCTGCTCTTCCTTCTCAGATTTTAGAAGGAAGAAGTCACATTTTATGAACTTAAGTTTGTATCTCCTTCATACTCACTATCTTCCAGAAATGCAAAACCCAAAGGACATGGGGGGAAGGCTAGCAGGAAGCCTGGCCCCTTCATATTTGTGCCTGGTGTTAGTGTGGATGGCAGGGACATAATCATTTCAATCCCACGGGGCTGCTGGGAAGCCGTGGCACTTCCTGGATGGCTCTTTCATATCAGACATATGTTGTAGATATAAATGGCTTGATGAGGACCTCATGTCTGTCTCTGCCAGCTTCTCACATCCTGGCGGAGGGCTCTTCTCTGAAAACTTCCTTTTTTTCTATGCCCTGTGTTGGCATCAACATGCTATGGCATCTACTCAGGGGCGTCAGTTGTGAGTCAGTGGTGGCACAGGGTGAGAAGAAGGGAGTAAAATAAAGGAGACAAAGGTGTGAAGTGAGATACAGATGAGGAAACGAACCAAGGGGACAGGAAGACATTGTCAGTGTTTGGGGACAAAAGCATAGTAGGCATCTGCTAACCTTAACCACACAAAAAGTGACAAAGGAAGCCATGCCAGTGTTGTCCCTTTCCCCTGTTACTTGTCTTCGTTCTCTTCCAGCCTTTTGCCCCTTGAACCTCCCCAGTTTCTGCTGTGGAGTCCGTTGTCTGCTGCAGCTCCATTCCCTCATCTCTTCTTGGACTTTTTTTCTGAAGCCTGAAATCCACCATTAGAGTTTATCTTTTCAGGGCTCAGGAATGGCTCACATAGTAATCGCCTTGCAAGCCTGAAGATCTGAGTTCCATCTCCAAAATAAAAAGAGTCATTGTGGGCCATCAGGATGGTTCAGTGAGTGAAGACACACTTCCTGCGCAAGACTGGCAACCCAAGTTCCATCCTTAGAACCCATGGAAAGTGGAAGGAGAGAACCAACTTCACACACACACACACACATTAAAAAATTATAAGCTGGTTGCAATGATGTGTAATTGTAAACCCAGCACTGGGGAGGCAGAGACAGGCAGTTTTTTGACTGAACATCCTAGTCAAAGCAGTGAGTTCCAGGCTAGTGAGAGGCAAGAGACCCTGTCTCACAAATAAGGCAGATGGTATCAGATGAAAAATAGAGAGCATGTCTCCCACACACATGTATACCTACGCATACAGGAACAATCACACTTGTGCTTGTACATGTGCACACGAATGAACACACAAAGAATTTCGTCTTTTAATCATTTGTACTGGTGGAGCAGTCCTCCCGTTGTACGCCAGAGTCTCTGAATGGCAAGTGTGTGGTCATGTCACCAGGAATGAGGGAAAGACACACATGTGTGGCGGGTACTTACTGCAGCATTGTTGCATCTGCTCTTCATTTACCCCTTGAAGAGCTCGATGGTGGGTGTCTTAGATGAGGAAACTTAATCAGAAGAGTCAGTGTGTTGCTGAGGTACAGTAGAGCTAGCATGACCAGGACAGGGCCCTTCCGATGACTCTGTTGTTTCTTAATTGCAACCACAAAGCCTATCAATGGAGAAAGGGAGCAGAAAGGTCCAGAGTTGGAAAAGTTGGAGCAGATGGACCTCCTAGGGTGTCCTCTGAGGGTTTCATTGTTTATTCCTTTAAAAATTCACACTGAAATCCCTTTCATTTGAACAGAATTAACAGGTGGGATTTTAAGAACTGCTTCTCCAGGAAGAGTGGCACTGGTGTCACCATACAATGAGTTCAGTCCCTTCTTCCTCTTGCTCTGTCCTGTTTCCTTCTAGCATATGATGGTACAGGAGCTGGGACACACCAGATTCTGGTGTCTTCATCTAAGACTTCTAAGTCTCTGTAACTCTAAGGAAAATCAATATCTATGCTTTATCAATTGTCCCATTTCAAGTATTTTGTTATAGTACTACAAATGGACCAAGACATTCTGATTCTATGTACTAATAACCAATAGCTTTTTGTTTACCATGTTTTCTTATTTCCCCTCTCATGATTATGATATAACCAATAACCTAATGAAGTAGGGCCGTATCTCCTCTTAAAAGTCAAGTTCTCTAGCCCCAGCAAGTCTCCCATGGTGAGCCCTGGAGTTCTTGGCAGTCTCCTGCTCTCACACCTATTGGATGAGAGTCATTTCATGAGGTATTCAAGACCTCACCTACGTCTGAGCTAAATGTTAGCAAATGGAATAGGAGGGGTGGATCTTCCCTGATCACCCCACGCAGGTGCCCACATGCTCATACTTGTATGGGAGGCTGTGGTGTCCTAACTGTATGCCTACAGTGTGCCAGCAGGAAGAAGTTGGCCGAACACCAACAAAAATGATGATCCATCTGGATTAATTTCCTTGACGGAATCATGAAGGGAAGAAAGGAAGGAAGAAAGGGAGGAAGGAAGAAAGGGAGGAAGGAAGGAAGAAAGGAAAGAAGAGAGGGAGGGAGGAAGTTGTCTTGAGCTGGAACAGGAAAGAAGAGCACCAATGCACCAATGGAAAGCTTTTTTTCTAGTTCTGAGGCTCTGATGTCAGAGGGGTTGAGGCCATGTGGTCAAGAAGGAAAGAAGGAGGAAGTGTGAAGGAACTTGGGAATATGGGCATCAGAGTTGGGTTACATCTGCTTTCAGTCAGTACTGATGCCACATTCCTTCCTACCAGAGAGCATTCTGGAAGCAAGTGCCCAAGCTTGATAAGCTCCATGGCTCTGGATGCTGCTCACTGGTGTGTAAGGGGGCTGGAGGCTGGGGTGCAAGGGGAGGTTATCTGGTCCTTAGAAAAGTAGTTGATGGAGGAAGAGCAGAGAAAAACAGATGGTGGTAAGTGTTTTCTTCTTTAGGCAAAGTCTGTAACCTTTTTTATACTGCCAGCATTTTATTTTAATTTAAAACCGAACAGAGCCTGCCATGACATTTAATGTGTCACAGTGTTTGCCAATTGCTGGAGCCTATCCAGACTCATTACAGCCCTCTAAGCCCTAGATGTTTGTCTGTGGGCAAGCTTAGCTGCTCTGTAAATGTCATGGTGAAAACCAAGGTTCTAGAGCATTTCAAAATACCCAAGTCCTGAAGTATGAAAAAGGCAGGCCTGGGTAATACTTGAACCATCCTTTGGACTCAGACATTTATAAGAAACTATGGGAGGATGGTAGGGAGGTAAGATTAAGGGAAAACTGAGATCCAATACCAAAATCAATTGCTGGGCTGGCAAGAGCTATAAAGGAAAAGCCACATACAGTGACACCAGCTTAGACATGTGGTCCACTTTTCATATGACACTCTGTTAGGGAGATATTTTCTGGACTCATATTTGCTAAATAAGGGTAGATGTGATTGAAACAAGATCAAAAAGGATACCCCAAATAGTCTCCACCCTGTGAGACACTCCGTGTATTAGTACCCCTTTCTGGAGGGAGTAGAACTTTCCTCAAACCAAGTCCGCTCCTAATCTGATGTGGATTCAGGAATGTAGGATGGAGTCTAAGAACTGACATGTTCACCAAGTTCCCAGGTGGTGCTGATGATGGGGTCCAGGTATCTGACTTCTGGGAAAATGAGTTAGAGTAGGGAGGGGGTTTCTGATCAGCCAGGTTCTTCTTGACTATGGGTATCTAAGCACTCTATATTGAGTGACTGTTGAGAGTTTATGCATCCATTCAATGAAATTATATTGTCAGTGTATTGAATATTAGATACTGCTTTGATCACTTAGCAGTGATTCATTTCAAAGTTACAGCCAATTATAAAGAATCTAAAGTATATGCCCCATGTAGCTGAGGTAACTGAGAGATGTAATTTATCCTATTTGGTGGATATTAAATGATGAAACTGTTGTTCAAATACAGACAGTTCAGGTAGTCTTTCTTGGTATTCTATGCCTGAGAAAATGAACTCTCTGATCCTTATTTAAGACACATGCACACATTTTAAATACACACACACACAAACACACACATACACATAATACAAACACACACATACACATAATACAAACACACACATACACATAATACAAACACACACATACACACACATGATACAAACACACAATACAAACACACACATACACACATATACACACATACACACATACATACACATATACACACACAAACACACATACACACACATACACATACATACACACAGACACACATACACACAGACATGCACACACACACAGACACACACACACACACACACACACACACACACACAATACAAAACTTACTTGACTTCCACTCCGCTCCTGACAGAAAAGAAAGCCAACTCTTATATCCACCATCTCTTGGAAGATTCTACAAGTTCATGTTTATTATGTCAATCTTTGGCTTTCATTCTTCATGTATACAGATTTCCCCTCATTTCTGTTTTATCTTATCTCTAACTTATGTCAGCCTCACTGTAAATGTGATCCACAATTCAACCAAGGCCTCCCCTCCCATCCCAACCAGCAGATCCCTAACTCAAAACAAGGCAATCACAGATCCAGGGGCTGGGTGGATGTCAAACTCTGCACAGCAAGAAAATTTTTGATATGTCATAAAAACTAAGGAGAATAAGAAAATGAAAATGGAAAGTCTATTTCATCTGTGGTTGAATCTCAGTGTTCTCTGAACTCTGTAATTACAGTTATGAAACAGCAGCATAGGAATTAAATTTTAAAAAGAGACTTGCTTTGTTTTTATTTATGTGGATGTGTCTATGTGTAAGAATATGCATGTGTGGTTTCCTGGGCCTGAAGAGAGTTTCAGAACTTCTGGAGCTGGAGTTACAAGCACTTGTGAGCTACCCCATATGGGTACTGAGAATCAAACTCAGGTCCTTTGCAAGAGCAGTCCAGGCTCATGACTGCTGAGCCCGTGTCAGCAATGAAACTTCAATGCTGAGAATCTCTTTCTTTAAGAACAGCAACTCTTACCGGGCATTGGTGGCGCTTGCCTTTTATCCCAGCACTCAGGAGGCAGAGGCAGACCAGGTCAACCTGGTCTACAAAGAGAGTTTCAGGATAGGCCCCAAAGCTACAGAGAAACTGTGTCTCAAGAGCAAAACGAAACAAACAAACAAAAAGAGTAACAACCCTTTAGTGTCGCACACACCTCGTGACCGCACCTGCCTGATGACTGTTCTTACTTTTATCTTGCCGAATCCTCTTGTTCTTCTCTTGAGTCTTTCCCGGCTTTGTCCACCCCTTCCAGTTTGGATTTCTGTGACTCCCTCCTCCACTTGGTTGATGCCCGCATCCTCCCTTTCACTGTGCAAACCCTGCCAGATGCCTTGCTAAACAAGGAACAATCCTTTCTTTCTAAGTTCGTCTGCTACTAATCCAAGCAAACAGTCCATTCTGTTCTTCCGCCTGCTACTACCTACTTCCCAGCCCCCCACCCTGCCCCAGGCCACACTGAATGCTCACAACCCTCTCTGGCTTCTGTGTTCTCAGACTTCAAGTATAGATAGAAACCATTTTTTTTTTCAATTGCCTCTGAACTGATCACATACAGACCTTTTGTTTGATAAGTCTTCCCCAAACAAAACACCACAGGTGCTTATGTAGCATTCCTCCTGTACCGGGCATTGTGAGTGATCTAGACGAGGTTTACTGTATGTGGGGAGATGCCTGTCGGTTGTAAGCAAGTGTTAGGACATTTGGTGTAAGGGACTTGAGCATCTGTGGATTTGGATATCCGTGGGAGGTCCTGGAGTCAATTCTTCCGTGAAACTCTAAACGTGGTCTCAGTGCTCAAAGAGCTTACACCCTAGTGAAGATATTTCAGAACAACAACCAGATGCGGTGTGCTCAAGAAATCCCAACAGTGTGCCCAGTGCAGAATGAGGAGTATGCATCTGGCAGGGAATGAAAGAAGAAGCGAGCTCATCACTTGACTAATAACAGCAATACCACGAGGAGCAGCCAATGGAAGGGCCCTTACTTTGTGCCAAATCAGCCTTTCATATGCAAAGGGTTTTGTGGAGAGCCTCTCAGATGGCATGTGGGCAGTTACTGTCTTCCCCACTGGTGGGTTTTGTTCTGACTCTGACAAACGAGAAAACCGCACAGGAAAAGCTAGATAACTTGCCTGTTAGAGCAGGATGGCTCCACAAGATGGAATCCAGTCACATCTTAACCAACAGTTGGGTGAGTGCCCTTCCTTCCTGAACCCTAGGTGACTTTAGCCTTCTAATGAAAGCCTGTCCTATGTGACCCGTGGCTGCCACACATAGTCCTTCAAGACAGTCCCTCAGCACCCTGTCCTCTGAGAGCCCACATTATGCTTTGTTTCTACTTGGTGAAGTTGTATGACATTCCATCACTTGGTTCTTTTACATCTACAGTACTGATCATTTCTTAGGACTCAGCACATTGCAAAGACCCAGAAGAGCTGAGTGTCCCAGCACTCTCTGTGAGAACTTGGACATTTAGACAGTCTCGCATCTCCTGCCAGAGGGCTTGGATGAAGAAAAAAATGAGCCGGAGTACCTTGGCATTTATTTTTCTTCAAATGAGCCAGACCCAGGGATTGGTGTGAAGGACTGTTCAGCCCCCTCTTGTTTTCGGTGCCTGCCAGCCCAGAAAGAAGAGCTGGGCCATTTATAGCGAATTCATTAAAAGCAAGAATCTGTTCTCATCTCCTTTGCTGTCTTGTCCTCCTGGCAGACAGAATCCCAGAGGTGGCATAAACAAATCCATTCCTTTTATTTTTATCTTCTCTTCTTTCACCCTCTTTTCTTCCTCCTCCTTCCCTCCTCTTCTTCATTCTCCTCTTCCCTCTCTTCCTTCCTTTCTTTCTCTACTACTTGATGTCAACATGAGAGACAGACTTTCCCAAGAGGTCAAGGGTGACCATGATAGAAAATGGAAACTTGTGGAAAACTTTCCACATATGAACCAGAAATTCTCATGCCCTTCTTTAGGCCAGGGTTACAGTTCCATAGAGTCAGAAAGACATTTATTTCCCTAATGGTTTAGAAGTTTCTTGGCTTTGCAGTATTGGAGGGGCAAACAACATACAAACAAAATAGCCGTGATTGATCTCCTAACTGGATATCCTGGGAAGATACATAGTGGCAGAGGTTGGTAAGATAGGGCTTAATCTTGCTGTCTGACAAACATCCTTTAACTCATGCCATCGTCCTGAGGAACCCATCTGCATAAATTTGCCCTACGTTCCTTTTCCTCCATAGTGTTACAGTTGAGCCACTCTACCAAAAGATATGGCTGGACTGTCCTCTCCACTTTGGGTCCCATCCTCTCAAATCTATCCAGGACTCATCACCAGAGATCATCATCTTTTCTCCATCCCTTTAGTTTTGCCTTCTCAATGGGCTTTGTTTAACCTTTAATCAACTTCAAGTGTTTTGCTTCTAACAACCCAGAACTCCTTCTCCATGTACTCTGCCTCTCTCGTCAACCGTTCTTTCTGCTTTCCCACCTTCTTGGAAAAGGTGTATATATATATATATATATATATATATATATATATATATATATATATATGTAGCATCCTCACTTTCCCTCACAACTTGCAAAAGCCAGTTTCTGTCCTGATAAACTGTTCTCAGTGGATCAGTAGCAGGCTCTTTGTTACTAAAACCCAGAACTACTTCTCTTTTTTGGGAACTCAAGGTAACAATTGGCATTGTCTGCCACGCCCTACTGGTTATAGGAGTTGGAGTAAAAGTAATGCTAATGTTTTTAGGGGGAGGTGGTAGCTTAACCAGGCATGTTTGGATGTGCTTCTTAGAAACTGCCAAAATACATTTGAACTGACTGAATAAAACTTGTAGTGCTTTTATATGTATGTCATCATCAAGTTGAATAACTTTTTTTTTATAGTTTTCAGCATGTGTCTGAAACAGTGATAAGCATTTTGGTTGTATCATTTTAACTTCCTAGCAACCCTGTGCACTGGCCATTTCTCATTATTTCAGTTTTGAGAAGGCCCACACATATTAAGATGCTTAGAGCTGCCAACAGTAAGGGACAAAAAACACATTTGACTCCAATCCAGCCTGCCTCTGGAGTGAATTCTATGTGTTTTCTTATGGTGCTGTGGTAAAACCCAAGGCCTTGCACACGCTAGATAATAACTCCTTTATCTCTGAGCTACATCCCAGTCATTTATTTTGTCTGCTCTATATAAAAAATTTTACATATTGTTTTATGTGTTATAATATAAAACACACTTATATTAGAGAGATACCACAGAATATCTTGATGCATGTATATACTGGGTAGTATCTTAGTCAAGTTAAATATGTATGTCTTCTTGGAAATAATTTCTTTATGATAAAACTGCCCATATCCTTCTTTTACCTTTGAAATGTACAGTGCATTTCGGCTGTTCTAGTGAGCCTGTTATACAATAGCACAGTGGGATTTCTTACTCTCATCTGACTAACTCTAATGCCTTGCAACCTCTATCCTGTGTTTCTTCTTGGACACTTGTGCTCAGCATTGTTAACCATTTGCTTCAAGTGCTCCTGAATGTCCTCAAATCTAAGTCTTCATTCAGATACAGAATCCACTGGCACCTTTCCCACCAGCCATATTCTCAAGACCAGAAGAGGGATCAGCACATTCAAAGACAGAGATACACTGAAGAGTTCAAGTTCAGCTCTGATCGCTTGATTTGTACCCTCGGCACCATGGGCAGATGTGCCTGGTTGCAATCAGGCAGCTAGACTTGCAAGAAAACCGTGCCAGATTCTTACTAGAACAACTTCATTATTCCCACTTCCTAATAACAGATAGAGTGCACCACAACAATTTGGATTAATTTTGGGTCACCGTTCTAATTTTAAAATTAAGGTTTCCACTCTTTCTGTAACTTAATCATACTCATAGAATTTGAATGGAAAGTGGGTGTCCTCAACTACAGCTGTGCTGGCAACAGCATTACCTCATCTCCTTTCTTTTATTTTTCACAGTTACGTATTTGTTTGCTTATTTAATTCTTTAGTAGCTTTCCAGCACCTTCACTGATAGGACTTTGGAGGTGTAGGGAATGTGGTCAAAGGCTTCTTCACATTAACTGGCTCATACTTCCTCATGAGAGAGTACAGCTACCCTTAAAGAACTCAATGAGCTTTCCTGGTGCTGATTTCCTGAGATGAGTTTTTTATATCATTAACAACTACTTTTTTTTTCAAGCCATAACTTCTAATGTAAGGCATGAGGAAAGATACTCTGGATACTTGCTGGTTTCAGCATCACTCTGAAATATTCTTCTTAGGTTCATAGAAACAGCAGTTCCTCACTGAACTTCTCTGCTTCATCCACAGGGACAGGATGAGAACTTCAGTCAATGTTGTGGGTGACTCTTTTGGGGCTGGGATTGTCTATCACCTCTCCAAGTCTGAGCTGGATAGCATCGACTCTCAACACCGGATGCATGAAGACATTGAAATGACCAAGACGCAGTCCATTTATGATGACACGAAGAACCATAGGGAAAGCAATTCTAATCAGTGTGTCTATGCTGCACACAACTCTGTCATAATAGATGAGTGCAAGGTACTTTTCCCATTCCTGGATATCGAGACCTGCATATAAATAGTGCATGTTGGACTTCTTAAAAATGCAGAACCCTGCATCCATGCTTACCATGCTTTTTTAAGGAATCATGTAACCCAAGCTTCTGTGAGGCCCAGATCATCCCATCCAGCATTGTGGGAAATCAGCAAGTCTGACACCAAAAGAACCAAGCAGTTGCTTGATTCAACAGATTCCCACATCCACCTCACTCCTCTAATTTGGTCAATTTTCTTCATTCTTTGGGCCAAGGATTTGTGGGTTTTAGAACTTTGATGGCCTTCTAATGTTCTCTTCCTCAAAGGAAGGATCAAGGGAAGTGTTGATCAAATATCATTGACTTCCTATAGCACAAGCATTCCTCTTTACTCTGTATTACAAATTGCTTTTTTCCTTTTGAAAAGTTTGATTGGCTGTCTTCCTTTTATTTATTTATTTTTTATTTTTGGGTGGGAAGGTAAGTTTTAGCCTGACTTTTATTTTGCATGCCAAAAGGGGATGCGGTTTCAAGAATAACTGTCCTTCAAAACAGTTATCCAGAAAGTCTTTTTAACATGCTAAACATCACACACTGCAGTTCTCCTGCACTGCACTGTGGGTGTTCTGGGTTCTCCTCTGAGCTCTTGGGTGCCAAGTCTTCAAGCTTGATGGGCTCTAGCTGGCCTTCACTGTAACTAACTTGACATTGTAAAAGACAGACTGTTGTGACCAGAGTGATGCAAACTTGGAGAAACCCTGAAAAACGAGAGAGAAGAGTTGGCTTGCTGAAATGATTGAGTGTGGCAACTGAAGCCAGTTTGAATCAACAGAGATCCCTTCTCCCCTTTTGTGTCCTGCTAATAAGATCCCATTTAATCTTTATTACTGTGTTAAGCCTTTGGCCATTCTGATAGCACCATGGTTTCTGCTGGAGAGCTCAGGCTAACAGAAGCAGTTCTATTTAGCAGGCTATATTATAGGTCCAGAGTACTTGTAGAGGAGAGAGTCTTACTTGGTCTCTCTACATCAAATACATGTACAGGTGAGCCAGGGCTCTGCTACAACTGGGGAGTGAGACTACTCGTTGATTAATTAATTGACAAGACAAAGATGATTTCCATTTTTAAAATTTCATATAGACCTTTGGGGCAATAATCCATTTTCTTGTAATGTTAGTGTTTTTCACTTACAAGTGAATGTGTTAAGTTACTTCACACACACACACACAAAATATTAGTTTGGATCAATAAGGGTCAATATTCTCATGGAACGCTTTCTATCATATTTATCAATTATTTATTATGTGCCTTGTATGACACCCATGACATCCCATATTTTCATCGTTCACCAAGTATTTACTGAGTGCCTATTATAAGACCCTGACTTACATACTGGAGCTATGCAAACAAGAATATGCAGGATATTTCAAGAGAGAAGGTTTGAACCCAGATTATTTTCACTCAAGGAAACATAAGATGAGCCAGTGGAATAACCATATGTATTTTTTGTTTCACTGTTGTATGCAAAAGAATCCTAGTCAATGCTGGAACCCTTTGGGGGACTCTTAAAGGGCTTTATAACACTGTTAAGAATGCGTTTTTGGAAAGTAAGGAGTAGAAGGATGGAGATGTCTTTCCATTTCACTTATTTTTCTCTTCTTAAAGAATGCAAGAGGCTGGGAGGTGGTGGTGCACACCTTTAACCCCAAACTCAGAAAACAGAGGCAGGCGAATCTCTGAGTTCAAGACCAGCTTGGTCTACATATTGAGTCCACAGCAGTCAGCACTACACTGAGATACCCTATCTTGAAAAAAAAAAGGCAAAACAAAACATGGAAAATCTTACAAGAGTGTTTATTACATTTTTTAAGCAAAACTGCAAAGTGTAAAGGGAGCGAATTGATCCTGTCACTATAAAGCAAGCTTATAAATAGTGGCGCTTGATCTCCATTCAACCTTATGTCCAAACTCCCCAAACAGTGCTTGGGCTGTTATATGCACTCAGTACACATTTGTTGAATATACCCTACTATCATCTTGATTCTATGTCGTATTTAGATAGCCTCTTCTTATTGGACAGCTTCATAGAACTAGTTGCTCAAGCTCTCCATAAAATTTACTACCCAATCAGCCACCTGCATCTGTATTGGATAATTAACATTTAGATGGTGCCAGTAATCAATCTAAGCAGGATAATGTATCAGGGTATATTGGTTTCATAAATATCTCAGATGCTTGTATTTTTACTGAGGTGATTTGCTTTAGCTCTTTGAAGAGGATCAGATCCTCAGCCTTCTCCCTCTTAAGTCAGTCACCTGTGTTGTCACCGATGTAGGAGGCAATCAGGGCTATGTGCATAGATCCACACACTTCCCAGAAGGATCTGGATCACATTTATTCATTTCTTTGAATTTCTTTCCAGTCAACTCCCAGCGTCACCATTTTTTAGGTTCAGTGTTTAAGAGCCCAGCAGGAAGAATGTCTGTCAATGCTTGTTGCCAAGGCCCTACCCTTGATTGAGCAAGACAGGGGTAGAATGGGTTAGGGAGAGGACTGTCAGTTTCTTTGATTCCACGGGGGGGGGGGGGGGAGTGGGGACACAAGGAGTGCCAGAAAAGCCACTGTTCCAGCTACTTTTGAAATACAGGTCCCAGTATTTATAAACAAAAAGTGAACACATCCCACATGTTATATGGTTCTTCCAGGTTGCCACATTGTGATTGACAGCTGTACATCTGATTGATCACTGAGAGCCAAATTATTCATATTGAAGGTTACAAGTATTAGGCAGATTTCTCTGGTCTGTCTCTGGCAGTCTTTTTTGACAGTTTATTTATTAAGGGGGAAACTAGTTTGCTGCATCTCTGGTCAAAACTCTAACCAATTCAAGCATTGTTGTGTCATGCTAGTCTCTTACCTCACAATGGTAGTTTGGAGTTATGTAACAACCTCTTAATTCTCATCGGAGTAACAGCATGTGAGCCATCACTGCTAACTGCATGAGCTTTTGAAGCAATGGTGTGTGGGCGGGTTGGGGGTGTGCTAATGGGATTTGGAAGAATGGACAATTTTTTTTTCATTGCATGTTTCACGAAGGTCACTCGGTTCTCTGTTCCTAGCATGCTGCATGCTCTTGATGCATGCATTTCATTTCCACTTGGGTAAAAAGGAGGTCAGATTTCTTTCAAACTTTGCTGCATTTGTCATGTCTCCATATTCTAATGCTTCCATAAATCCAGTCTCTTCATTATGTGGAATATCAATCGTGGGTTTAAGTTTGCACATGACGTTGAGGACAGACAGACAGAAGAAGGTAAGCTAGAAAATCTGCTTAGAAGTGGATGGGGAAACTTCCCTCCTGCATAAAGGTTCAGTTTGCTCTGGGCCAGGAAAGAATTGTATATATGGTTTGCTAATTATGGGTTCCTAAGTGTCTACATTGAAATGATTTGGAAATGCATTGCTACTTTTAAACCTTTTCCCCATTTTGATTTCTAAAGTTAGCTTATTCAGTAGAGCCAAAGCATCATCATTTTAGTAATTAAGACTGAACATGTATGAAGTTCACCTGGCCTCACTGTGGCTGAACCTTTCACATGCATGAGTAGAAGTAGCTGCCTAATTCTGGATTTCTTTTTGTATGGTTGTATGGAGTAGCACATGATACTCACTGTATTTTAAGGACTACAGTAATATGTGATGGGTCCATGGGTACGGAGATACCCCACAACCATAAAAATATAATTGAAGTTGTCCCCACAATGCTGACCATCAATGATCCCTCAATATCACCCAGGCAAATAAAGACAATTTAATTATCTATTCACTATTGAACACCAGGATGGCTTCAAAACCACAGAACTTAAATGGTATTTGAAGGAATACCATTTAAAACTATGGTTTCAGTGTACACTGTAAGCTTGGATCTGATGCTTCTCCACATGACCCCCGGGTGGTGTTTCCTGTGCTTCGTGGCCTGTAAGTTGGATGTTGATCATAATTGTTTTCAGGTAACTCTGGCGGCCAATGGAAAGTCAGCTGACTGCAGCGTTGATGAAGAGCCTTGGAAACGTGAAAAATAATGACCTGACTCTCAGCCAATTCTTGAATAAACTCCCCAGCGTATCTTATGGTAAAAGATGCTCTAAACAGGCTTCCTTTACGAAAGGAAAAATGCACATATTTCTATGTTTACTTAATCTGTTAGCTGAGGCTTAGAGGAGCTGTTGTACACCCGTGATGACAGGCACTGTGCTGTGTCCTTGCCAAATAATGCTTCATAACTGTCTAATTTTCTTACTTGTGTTGCTATCTGAATGGATGATGCTGGAGACATGACTTTGAACAGAAGACAAGTTCTTGCCAGCTTCCCTTTGTCTCATTGCACAACTGTGGATGCTCTTTTCCCATGGGGACAGGACAAAAGCAGTGTGGTACACTCCAGGGACTTGAGACAATGAGCACACACAGTGTGGTATTCCTTAAGTGTTCATTGCTTACCTTGTTCTGCACAATGATTCTGCTAGAAACTTCTATAAGTTTTCCCCCTCCAGCTGTAGAGTCGGCATCTGTCATAGGGACAACTTGCATTTTTGTGTACTGTCTAAGTTAAATATTTCAGAGTTTCAGTGGTTGCCCATACTCTTGGAAGGCAGGTGACCATGAAGCCAACAGTTGCTCTGCCTTCCCTATTTGTGTGTGTGTGTGTGTGTGTGTGTGTGTGTGTGTGTGTGTGTAATGGGGAATTTAAATGAACTAAGAATTATTTGCATATAACCACTGTATACCTTGAGAAAAGTAAAAAACCGTAGTCAACCTAAATTTTAACCAGATTTAAATATTCAAACGCACTTGTTGGACTTGCATTCAGACAGCACAGTGATGTTAAGTGTGATCCCCTGATCTTTGTTATTATTTGCTTCACTCATAAGAGTCTCATTTGACTTCCTAACAAAAAGATATTTTCAATATCCAAATCACTTCCCTCACATTCTCATCCATCTATGTGGCTGAGCATTTTAGCTTCCTCACACAAAGGGACAGATGTTGGCTGTGTCTCTTCTCATATCATTTTGATATATAATATGTAGAAAGTGTTCCATTATATAAAGAGCCTGAAAACCATCACAAGACACAAAAGCTTTCTTCCCCTTCAGTGAGAAAGGAGCAGAAAGTCAACCTTTATATAAAATCCTTTAAAGTGAGAAAGGAGCAGAAAGTCAACCTTTATATAAAATCCTTTAAAGATGATATTCCTATGACAGAGTCCAGACAGTCTCAAACCATCAAGTAATGGCAAAGAATGGGCCCACAAACTTCTCTGATAGAATCTTTTCCAAGGGCAGTGAAAGTTTTAAGGAAGAAAAAATATAATTGTCACAGCATGAGCATGGTGGTTTGCCTGTGGTACACTTAATTACTGGTTGTGCAAGCTAAAATTGTGAGTGTCTACTATTATCTTCTGTTGAATAACCCACAGTATTTTCCTAAGATTCCTGGGCTTAAGGGTTGGCTGGGAACTTGAACTACTGAATACAAAGCACACTTGACTCTAAGAAGCAGATGGAGCCTGGTCCATAGGTTAAAGTGCATGTGACCTCTGAGGCAAGCAGAGTTGGGGGAGATATTCGTATATAGTAATAGGACCCAGCATCTCTGAGAAAGGTTACTGAGACATTGCCTCTCTTTTTAGCCTCTCTTGTGACTTCTCTCCTTCAAATCAAACAGCTTGGAAACATACGAAAGACAAGAGATTCCTTCTGTTTTTTGCTTTGTTTTGCTCTGTTTTTGTTTTCTTTTTTTTTTTAATCTCATAAACCTTAACTGTTTGAAAACAAGGATCACACAAAAGACAAGAGATTCCTGGCTTTTTTTTAATTACTGTTTTTTCTTTGTTTTATCTCATACACCTTAACTGTTTTTAAACAAGGATCACTCTGGAGCAGTATTAATGATTATTTCGCTTTGTTTTGGTTTCTGGCTTTTGAAACCAGGTCTTGCTATGCAGGCCAGGCCAGCTTCAAACTCACACCCTTCCTGCTCAGCCCTAGTTCTAAGGTTATAGGTGGACATCACCACATCAGCTGGTAGATGGGGCTTTGGTAACCCTATTCCTTAAATGGATTCAGTTGATATTTTTGAAGAATCAAGATCATTTCAGAAGCAAGCCAACCGAACAGACATTCACCCTTCCCTTTCTTACCCTTTCCCTTTGAGAAGCAAGAGGAATCATTATTCAGCTATCAAGGAAAATTCAGCAAATGCAGTCAGTGAATAGGATGGCTGTTTTGAAGGTGGTGTTTAACCTTAGGTTTCTAAGGGTAGCCTCTCCGTATGCTGTATGCTGGAGAATCTAGGCAGCCATCAGGATCTGAGCACACAAAACCCCAGTAAAGTCCTGGAGGTGATTTTAGGACCACAAGGTCACTACCAGATTCTGTTTTTCACTTCCTGTTGGGTATAGCAAAAAGCCTGTGTGGCCTCATAGCCTGTGGACATTTTCATGCTCCATAAAAGACAAATGGCCATTTCTTCTCTCTCTAGTCAGCTTGGGCATTCACAAAGTGAAAGGATACCAAAATGTCCCTGGATGGAAACTAAGAAAACAGAGAAACGGATAGGAAGAATTCAGCTCATGGGGCAATTCCTGCTAGGGGATGCTGTGAATCTCAATGTTTGACTTGATTAGGTCTCGGGTATTTTCCAGCTGTGGCTGGAAAATCATGCCACATGCAGGAAGGTGCATTTGGTCAGAGGGCCTTTTAGCCCGGAGAGATTGAGAAGCTTATCTGTAGGGTCTTCAAAAGAAAACCCAATCCTGCCTTCTTTTTGCAAATAAACCTCCCTTTGTCCTCCAAAGCAATAGTTCACTATAACTTTTCACTTTTGTCAGGATTCGGGCTCTGGTCCGTGCACTGCTCCCCTCATGCAGCGGCACAATAAATCCAAATAGGTGTTCACACGCTCTGGCTCCGATAGACAAGTCTGGGCAGCACCAGCCTTTGACGACTAAAGCTGAAGCAGTTACACCGCAGGGGCCAACTCGCCCACCTTCTGCTCACTGCCATCTGCCCTGCACTTTTGCTTTGCTTATTTTCCAGCCGAACTCATTATAAGCTGAGACGAAGTACCAAATGGGATTTTCCAGTACTTACAAGACTCCAGGGCCAAGGGTCATAAGAAGATAAAGTGGGGTTTTCCTAAATCAAGTTGTCATTTAAGATTTATGGTCTTGGCATCTATAGTAATTTCTGGCTAAACCCAATAGAAGGGTCACCGCATACCAACCAAACCAGGTAGCAAAGGAGTCAGCTGTTTTTCCACGGGTGGAGTGAGATAAAATCTGTTCAAAAACACCAGCTAGTTGAGAATCTTCCCTAAAACTCTCTTCCCAGTCCGCTGCTCTCTTCCTTCCCTCTCCTTTCCTTCCATCCCATTGCTCAACAGAAAGAGTTGTAAATGGCCATACAGTTATGTGGGGCTTGGTGTGGGAGGAGATAGCAGATCTTAACTGAGTAATATCCAGTCTCACTACCTGAACCACAATCTGGCACCCGACACAGGAATGCTTAAAAACCACGTGGTTTGGGAGAGGAACCATTTGATTTAGACATGCCCACTAGGAGCTGTATGACTTACAAAAGCCACTGTCTGCCCAGACTTCTTTTGCTTCTATATGAGAAGAGGGGAGATTGGACCAAATGACTAAAGTCTCCTTCTAGCTCTGCAAATGCACTTTTCTAATCTCTGCTTTACTTTTTCCATCTTCAGAGGCTTCCTGTCCTAAAACATGGCTTACTTGTATTTTAAGTTGTAAAGACACACAATAATGATGAATCAGTTTAGTTTTTTTTCCCCTCATTCCCTTGGGAAAACTCAAACTCAAGTGTCTGTTCGTTCCACGCTTTACAAGAAGCTTGGAGAGTGGCCGTTTAAAACCATAGTCCACTGTTCTTCTGAGACACCAGTGAACATCCCTCTGTAAAGATCCCTTTGACCTAAACTCGCTGTTCTCGCAGGCGCTGCAGTTCTGCCCAGGGAGATGCTCTGCAGTCACCAGGAGGGACCAGGCACCTCGCAGCTGCACCTGAGTCCTTGCATCACATCTGCTGTAGCAACAGCACCCACTCCAAATACTCAGCCCACATCATTTTCCCCAAACAGTCTTAATTGCCAATCCTGTATGGGAGTTTGGGAGGCTCTGGCAAACAAGCTTGAACACTCCTGACATTTGGTGCAAGATTTACACAACCACAGCAACCGTCTCCACATACGTGCAGACATGTATATCCATTCCTGAACCAGGGAGACGAGTCTTTTCTCTGGAGGGATGAGCAGGCAGATTTGATTGATTTCATTTGAAAGTTTTCCTCTTGGTTTGCTTGCATAACAGACATAACATTGTAGGGAGAGACACTGTCACTTATAAGAACAGAGTTTTCCCATTTGCTTATGCCCTTTTCTGTGCTCACAGAGTCTCTAAGTAGTTAGAAAGTTGCGAGGTGGTTTACCCTCTCTGCTTGTGTTGTAATAGACCATAGCTTGCATGTTTGCCCTCTAAGTTTCTAATAGAATGGAGTTGATAGCCTAGTGTAGTGAACATCTTCATTGCCAGAAAAGATTTCAGCTCTTCAAATTTGGAAGAGCAAGTTGGAAAACCAGGTCTAAAAGATTAATTTGCGCTGTTGGTAGTGATGGTGGTTGCTTCGCCAGCCCTCCCCTCCCCCTTCCCCCCCCAGGTGGCAGAAGATCTAGAGCAGAAAGATAGTAGTGTTTCTTAATTGATCCACTTAAGGTCACCATGGAAAAGTGGGAGATAACGTTCCTGGGCGATAAGGGTTACGCTACCACCTGGAATCATTTCCAGTCAGCGTTTTGTTTCTATGCTAATTTCCCAGTCTTGTTGGAACAGACCTGTGCACTGCAGAGCCAGCACGTGACCTAGACAGTTGGTGGCAGTATATCTGGGTTCCTCTGGAGACACCCCCAATCCCCAGATGAGCTCTGGAACCTAACAACTGACTGTTATCCTTGTCATCATCCTCTGGGACATGGGGATGATGCAGCCAGACAGAGCCTTGTTGCTTCTGGGCTCCGTTTCTCCTCATGGCAACCATTCACCCTGCCTGGAAACGGCCTGCTGCCTTTGGTAGGGGACAGATATGCTCATGAGCCAAGGAAGCTGGTCAAACATATCCCTAAGGTTTCTTCATGCTGGAGCAAATTCCCTAATACACACAATCTGAAACTCAGCTCCATGATGACTTACGGCTCCATATTTCCCTTCCTGTCTCAGAGCCTTCCTGTCTACGAATCTGGTACCCAGATTCTTCTACAGCTCATCTCAACCCTTTCTTCTTTCTTCCTGCCTCTGTGAGAGCTCAGCATCCCATCTCCATGCTGTACAACACAAACCAGATCATCTGGTTACTATAGAGATTTGTATATATTAAAACAAGCTTACTTTTTGGAGAATGTTTTGTATATTCTTTTTCTATTTGTTTTCTACAGCTTGAGGAGAGAGCTGGCAAACTGTGAATCTAATTTTATGTTTATGCCAGCAGATATATTTTAGCTTCCTGGGAAAAATCTGTGTTACTAGGGACAACATATTGCCCTCTGATCAGTATTGCACCCCAAATCTACAAAGTTACTTTGGCCCCATCTTACATTCTTTCTTACACGAATCCTCACAGTTCTTTGCTATTATTTATAAAGATAAATATTTATAGTCATGGGTATTACAAGTTTAATCTTAATTTAGCTTTTAATAATGTTATGCATGTTTGTATCTATTCTTCAAAAAATCATAAAGACTCAGAGTAGGCTGAAATAATCTATTTAGTATCTGTAATTTTTCAGACAGATATTTTCTTATGATATTTTCTATACAACCACATAGAAGTATAACTAATTAGAGCACAAGTTTCTATAGCAATTTAGGGGTATCAACTGTTTCCTGAGCATATAGCCACATTTGAGAAATTTAGGAACTCGGTCCTTAATGATGCAATAACTAACATGACCAAACTAGGAGCAAGGAATTGCTTAATCCCCTGAGACAGTTAGGATATGCATCTAGACAGCTAATCCACCAAGGTGAAGCAAAGGTGCTAACTTCTTTTCTTCCAGCACCAGACCTTGTTTTCCCAATTGACCATTCTAATTTTACTTTCCCGTAAGACCAATAAAGACTGGTGCTAGCAGTGGGGTAGTTTCTATATCAGAATCTCCCATGCATTCCTAAATGTTTATGTGAAAATTGGCCCAGGAAAAGGTTGAGTAGCAAAGACTGAGGATGAGTGGTAAGACAAGAATTCAGGACAGATTTGGTGCAGTTTTGAGTCTTGCCAAGCAAAATGAGAGCAAAACCTCACATTGTTATATGAATCGAACATATATTTTTAAAGGAAATGAAAGACAACATATTTTTAGTACCCACTCAGAATCCATGCTGAGTCACCAGGGGGGCTGGAGGTGGGAGTTAGAGTCATACTGAGATTATTTGTAATAAACCCAAATAGATTATCCTCAGGTAGGCATCAAACTATGTAACCTTCCCACAAGGTAAAGCAGTAGCCACTGAAAACATGAGGTGTCTTTCCTCCACCAAACACGCTCTCTGAGATTGTGGTGAAACTAGTATTTTACCGTGTTTGAAAGGGTAGTTCGTTACATAGAACACATACTAGGATGTATTTGAACCTGCTCCTCATCAAGCAAACAGATTAGATGTGCCCTCAACTGGCTAAGATTGTATCTGTTTCCAAGTACAGCTAGCTATCAGAGCATGACATTCTTGTGTGTACACGCGACACTTGGTTCACGCATGAAGACAGTGCCTATGCACTTTGTGTAGCGATGATGTAGGTATTTGTGTGTAATTTCAGTGAAATGGTGTATAGATGTAATTTAATTTAAATGTTCTTCTTGGCTGTTTATCTAAATGCAATAGATATGCTGATTGCCATTTGGAAAACCTATTTTTGTCGTCTTAGGTATCTCCTAGAAGTTATTTCTCTTTCTCGATGTGATCTGAGTGAAGAATTTACCCATGAAACCTCCTTACTGATGATTGTTTGCAAATCTATGTGTTCAGCACCTTTGTAAATACAACTCAGAGCAGGGATGGGGTTGAATGTGTGTCTTGCCACACAGTGAAAGTCATCCTATGCCTGCAGCCTTTCCCATTCAGTGCACCTGCGGAACTTTCAGTTGTCAAGGCTGAGGGAGGTTTAGAATGAGGACATTCATCTCTTGTCCTCCCTCACCAGTGGGCTGATCTTAAAGAGACAAAAGTGGGGGGGGCTCCATCTACTCCTTGGCATGCTAGAATTGTGTCGTTAGGGAAGGGTGGACCTCGCTGGCTGTCAGATCTTCATCATGACATGGTAACCATGACCTAAGATTCTGAAGAGCCTTGCTCCCCTTGGCTTCTTGAGTCAGCATACAGGAATGCATTTACTGATTAGCTGCCACACAGGTAAGCCCCCCCCCCACCTCAAAGCACAGTTCTGGCAGCATTGCACATTTGTCAGAAAACAAGAGAATACTATAAGCACATCAAGGCTAGGGGCCAGCAATGGCCAGGAGTCAGGCTTGGCAGAGGCAAAGGACTAACCTGTGTTGCACTGATTCCAAGTATGTGATGGGAGTCTGATCTCCTCTACCCAGGATGCTCTGTTTGCATGTGTGAAGTATGTGAGAATGAGACTAACAGTGACCACATTCCTCCTCATTCACACTAAACACCAAGCTGTGAGGTCTTTAGTTCCTGCAACCCCTTTCTTCCCTGCAAAGACGGAAGAAACTGAAACATGCTGGAGAGTGCCTCTCGCCCCCCTTCTCAAAGATCCTGAAGATGTGAAGCACATTTTTTCCCAGGGGCTTCCCTAGATGTATGGAGTGAGGACATGTGGTGGCTGGGTCCTTCAAATTCTGGATGGAAAAAAATGTACTGAAAGGGAAGTAGACTTTAGGCAGGATTATCTTTGAATGAAAGAATAATGGTTTCCCTCAAGTTCACAAGTCCCGGTTGGTCTGATGTCATGTAGCATAACGTATCTATAGTAGCACATGGTATTTAAAGACTAATGAATGCAAAAAAGATGAGAAACTCAACTAATCTGGGGATTGTTTCTTATATATGGTACTAGGAAATACCTTGTTGGCAAAGCACATCTTGGGTAGTTAAGATCTCCTGTGTTTGTCTTCAGCTTTTTTTGTGATGTGGACTGATGACTGTAACATTCCATGTGTAAAATAACTGGATATTCTTCATCTGCTGGAAATAACCTGTAAATCCAACCTTTCACTAAGTGTTTTAACTTCTGTGGATATATATTTCTCATCAATAAATGTGGATTCCAATTTCTCTTGGTGGTTGCCTGTTCTTCACTTCTCACTTTATTCTTTGTTTTTTTTCCTGAGACAGGGTTTCTCTGTGTAGCTTTGTAGACTAGGCTAGCCTCAGACTCACAGAGATCTATCACCTGCCTCTGCCTCCCAAGTGCTGGGATGAAAGGCATGCACCACCACCGCCCGGCTTCACTTTATTCTTGTAGCTACAGAGTGTTAGCTACATCTTTAGTGATCTTTGTGATAGAAAGATCATTAAATCATGGACTGAAGTCTATACTCTTCCAAATAAACTTTTTTTTGGGAAACACTCAGCATACAAAAGTCATGTCTAACGAAGCAAAGCTAGTGGAGTGGGAAGTTACAATGTATCATCAGTGAACTAGCCATGACAAGTTAGAGACTTCTAAAATCCCTGTTCACTTATTTGTGCGACATATCAATCCCTACTTGGCTAGAAACACTGCTCCTTGCTGTCCTCATCCAGGGAATATCTTAGTCCACACCGGGAGCTTCTCTGAAACACCAGACATGAATACCTTGTGAGGAAACGTTTTATGGGGTCACTTTCTGGGAGGTTGAAATGTCAGACAGAGTTCAGGTGGCTATGGTCATCAAGGGCCTCATAATGTCACAGCATGCAGGTGATATCACATGGAAGAAATGAAATCAAGAGTGACCAGTGTAGTGTGTAGAATAGGACAAATACAAGGAATATAATACAGATTGCACAATAGCAACCCATCTTCAAGGTAACCAGTCAAGTTATGTGGTACCTAATCCATTCCCTACAAGAAGACAGTAATTTCTGAGTATGATCTTCCAAAGAACCCAATCATCTCTCACTGCATCCCACCTCTCATAGGTCCTACCACCTCTCAGCATTTTCACACACCTTGGGTAGAAGACATCTACATACACACCACAACAGGAAGTATGAGGGAGATCATCTCCACGTTTACCAACTCAGATAAAAAGAATGACAACAGAGCCCATACTCACCCTCAGTGCCTCCCCCTGAATGCTAGCTACCTCAACTCTGCCCATGGTTCAATGGCCAAAGCAAGTGGCACAGCTCTGCCTAGCTTCAAGGGGTAAAGAAAGTGCAAGTTCAAATACATGGCAAGAAAATGGAAATGAAGTGTTTCATTTAATTCCTTAAACAGTGCATAAAAGACATAGTCAAACAGTGTCTTCGTATTCCAACACAGCAATGCTTTTTACTCTTCAACAAGGATTAGAACAATTATCCCTAAGGAACTGCATGGCAAACATTAAAAGGTCATGCTAGAGAAATTAAATGCAAAGTCTTCAGTGGAAGGATCGCTATAGACATGATGAGGTGCAATGAAAGTCCACCTGGATCTTGACAGGCTCACAAGAGAAATTAAATGCAAAGTCTTCAGTGGAAGGATCGCTATAGACATGATGAGGTGCAATGAAAGTCCACCTGGATCTTGACAGGCTCACATTTCACACTGCAGGGCACCTGCTGATAGATGGGATGGCTTAGTTTTCTTCCATTCTCGGGAGAGGGAAGAGGCACATATCTGATACTGAATAATCAAGAGTCATCGATATGGCATAGCACAATTCTTGTCACTAATGATGACAATTTGCTTAAACTGTTAGTGAAAATGAACAATTCATTTGATGCTTACTTCCCTTGGAGCTAAGTCTATAATCTCATCCACATGAATAACATCACCGAAGTCTCAATTGCAGAAAACATGCTGAACAGTATATTCCTGGGTTGCCATTTTTCCCTTTAGGTGGCAAACAGCCAAAAACAGAGTCAACATTTAAATTAGGTACAAACCAAGGATGACACAGAAACTTGAGTGGGACCAAGAACCCATCACTCTTGGGTCAGAGGTGGAAATCCATTTGTGTGGACTGAGTGTTGCTTTATCACCAATGAAGAAGCAAGGAAAGAAGAAAAACTAATTTGAGGTGAGTCTAAAAGGAACAATTGTTAGGACACTGAAGACTTCAGTAAATGTGACTGCTAGCTTTCTGTTCCTGTAGAAAATGCCCAAGGGTAAATCCACCTACAAAAAGAAGAGGTTTCTGTGGCTCAGTTGTAGAGGCCAAGGTCAGTTGATACTTTCTCTGGGGCCTGAGGCAGTAGAGCACAACATGGTAGGAAGCTCTTGATGAGGCAAAAAGCTCCACACTTTATGACCAGGTTGAGATATATAGGAAGAGGCAGGCTCACACCCACACTCACCTTCAAGGGTTCCCCAGAGCTGAAAGGCTCTTAGCAGACCCACAATTCAGAAATTCTACTGGTCCCCATTAGCCTTGAATACAGGAACCTTTAGGAGGACATCCAAATCCAAATTTCAATGGTAGCTAAGTCTTTGGCACATTTGAAATAATAGGTTTAGATTAGAAAACCATCCAGCTTTTAACATTGAAATGTAGGTAAGTAAACCACACACACACACACACACACACACAGGGGAGAGAGAGAGAGAGAGAGAGAGAGAGAGAGAGAGAGAGAGAGAGAGAGAGAGAATGTGATTATAGTTTCCTGACTGAGGTGAGAAGAAGAGCCAAGCTCTTCCACAATCTCCTTTAAAATCATACCCTAGAGACCAAATGTAAACACCTAAACCTGTTTCCGGTTCTTATAAAAGGAATCTGGATCACATACAGTCTTCTTAACATGTGACATAAAAATTTTCAAGCATTGAACAAACACAGGTTTCAAAGAACACTTCCCCTCTACTGGCTGCTTTGGTCAGTGTGAGCTCACACGTTAACAGGAGGGTACTTGAGTATAAAAGAAGAGGTCCTCTTTCCTCAGACTGCATGGGAGTACACATGTGTGAATGGAGAATGTAGGAGCCAGACACGTCCTTCTTGGTCCGTGACATCTTCCTTGAGCAATGTGTGAGGCCTATGGGCTCTTCCCATTAGCAACATGCTCTTTGCTGTGATGAGAATCGCCTTTTGACAGAGGAAGTCACAAAATATCCATCTACCCACCCAATAGCCACCAATAGCTCCTTTACTATACTCCAACAAAATATTATAAACTAGGTACTTCAGAAACTACATTGTTCTAGAGGTCAGACCTCTGAGTGAGGGGACAACATGGGTTCTGGAACAGATTCCATCAGGCTTGAATTGTGTCTTCATATGGTAGACAGAGGGCAAGAGAGACCTAGGGTGCGCCATTAACAAGGGTCTCATCCTCAAGACCTGATCATTTTTCAAAGGCCCCACCTGCTAATGCCAGTGAAGCCCTCAGGACTTGGGGAAAGCACAACCACTAGGTTTAGTGCAACCTTTCTCTCCCAGAATGGAGAACTGTAAGCCATAAAGTGGCCTGCAGAAAATGTGTGATTGTGTGGCTTCCCCTGTAGTGTGAACCTAAGGAAGATGTACTGTGGTGTGGCTGCCCCTCCAGCATGAACCTGTAGGTATCTCCTTCTGAGCACAGGGATATAAAGAGGAAGTTAGGGTTCTGCACACTGAAGAGTAGAACCACATCAGCTAGCTCAGGTCTTATCAGACTTTGACAAGGTCTCACCAAATGTCTCAGTCCAGGCAAGAAGGCCAGGAGGTCATGCTGCCTAGGTAGCTGACATGTCATGCAAAAATAGAAGACTGGGGGAGTCCCTGGCACAAATGAGAATGCTTCTGGATTTACAACTTCTTCCTGGTAGCTTTTAAAGTTTAGTTAATTCATCCCCTCAATGAGGCAGTGAGGGGTCATAGATTCCTGTCCTTGTAAGAAAAACCTAGCTAAAGTAAGATCATGGTCCATGAAGTTTGTCCAACTGATATGAAGATGATAGAGACAGTCATGCTTCTAGGCATGCACATATAAAAGCAGATTGCTGCATGACACAAAGCAGACAAATGCAATGTTTTCCCACTGCTCCTCCCTCCAGCTCCACTGAGTCAGAAGGAATATGCAAAACCTCAAAATCTTCCTCCGTTGTTTTCCAAAGATTGTCTGGAAGCAATCTAATAGCCTTCAGTGAAGGAGAAATGCAAATATAGCATAGTTGCCCTCCTTGGTTGCAAAACCCGACTCCATTGAGCTTCTTCCTGGCTTCTGGCAGTCCACAGATGTCTTCCGGGCACTGATGGCATCACACTCACAGAGGGGGAAGCCATGGAGTTTCTGTAGAGGAATAAAGCAAGGCTTCGCGAACAATCAAAAGCCCCCACAGCAGTGAAAAGAAACAGTGTGCAACCTTGACTAGTCTTCCCATGACCATTAGCTCACTTAAATGAGGGTGTCCTCATTTGCAAAAAGATGCGGGCTAATCTGGAAATACTCCATCTCCCTCAAGGTTCTTTGTCATCTCACAGTGGGGTATTATCTCTGTCTAAGATGAGAAGGAAATCTGGAATCAGCTGGGGAAGGAAGCCTGTATTACAACAAAACAAGCAAAACAATAGAAAAAGAAAAACACCTTTCTGCTCAGCTAAAGGCTTTGTACTACCAATCCCAACTTCTTAGTGGCTAAGCTGCAAGAAACCACACCTCCTTTCTCCCACTTTGGCCTTTCTCCCATCTATATTACACGGACATTACTGTGAAGTCTACAGCTCAGATGCCCTCCCCCAAACCTGAGTTTTGCTGGCAGACTTAGACTTCTCCCGAACTAGTCAAGGATAATGCATCTTTCCTCTTAGAAGAGTTTCGTGGCTGTCCTGAGCTCACATTGTCTGATCCTTGAGATGCTCTCCATTATATAGCAAGCCTCTGTGCTCAGCAATGAGAGAAGGTACAGGGTTTCTTAAGGGAAAACAACAAATCTCAGCCTGGCCAAGGAGGCTGCTCACTGGGATGGGATCTTGAACTTCTCACCCTCCAAATGGAAATGGGATTTTGAGAAATGAGGCAATTCTTTTCTTTATTGGAGAGTCCCTTGGGGAGTCCCCAGCTCATAGTGCTCATGTCCTCACAGAGATAAATGTCATGAGAAAAATCATTTCTGTGGAATGTGCCCAACCCAGCAGAGCCATTCAGAACTCCTTTAGCTGGATCTT